CTCAACACCCTCCCAGCCTGTCCCAGCCTCACACCTGAAGCGTGAGCCAAAAGTGTGACCCGGTGCGTGCTTTATGGCCGAGGCAGACACGTGCCGTCTCTCTCGCACTCGAGGCGCGTCCCGAGGGGGTGCGACAGAGACGGAGTGACTGTTGCCGTCCCGCATTACGGCCGATCAGCGCCACCTAATGAGGCACCGCCCCCTCTAACGCGCAGCGCGCGCCTTACTTCGCGTCAAAACCACCGCCTTCCAGGAAAGCGCGCGCGGCTCTACCTGCGGCGCCGGACTGCGGCGCTGCACAACGGCGTCGGACGCGTGGCGGTTTCAAGGCAAAACGCTAAAACAAACAAGGCGGAGCGGGCTAACGAGGGGCGCCGAGTCTCTCTGTCTCTCTCGGGACGCCCCACGGGTGCGAGAGAGACAGAGCGAGCTGCTGGGACACCGGTGGTTTACGGCAGGGTGCCTCTATTGGCCCATCACGAGGTACTCACGGACCAATCGGCCAATCAGACGGCGCTGGCCTGGACTCATGTTCATCTTTCCAGTTCCAGCGTCCCCCCTTCGGTCGAGCGTCTCCTATTGACAGACTGCTAGGTTAGGTTGCCTGCCGCCCCACTGGCGTGGCGGGCAGCGGGCTCGCGTGTGCCCTGTCGTCCCACTTCATTCACGCGGAGCCCTGGCTGAGCATGGCGCACAGTGGGCCAGAAGACCGGTGGAGGCGGACAAATCTTTAGACGCGCTTTGAGCTCCAGAGTCGCTAAAACATACCTTGAAACGAACGTGTGACCCCACCAATGGATTCCTCGTTCGGAGAGCGATCCATTGGTGGGGTCACCCATTCGGTTCGAGTCCCATTTAGCGACTCTGGAGCTCAAAACGCGTCTGGAGTTTTGTCCGCCTCCACCGGTCTTCTGGCCCACTGTGCGGAGCCATCCTTCGGGATGCCTAATCGTCGCCACGAGGTGTCTGGATGTGTCGCCCCAGCGGCCCAGCGGCCCGCCCTATTGGCCCCACGGGCGTGGCCCCGAGCGGACACGAAAGACACGAAAGACACGAAACCCAAACCAGACCGCCGCGCTGCCGCCGTCGCCGCGTCCCGCCCGTCCGGCGGTGTCAAGCCGCTTTGTGTGTCGCGGATCACACCGCGTCGCGCCCTCCCCCTTTTGTGTCGCCGATTCATAGACCCTAATTATGTTTTAATAAAACGGGGGCCCGGCCTGCTGGGCGTGGCGCGACTCGTTAGCCGCCTTTGGTTCGTGTCACGCGAAACGGAACGCGTCGCCGCCACACAGTGGGCCAGAAGGCCGGTGGAGGCGGCCAAAACTCTAGACGCGTTTTGAGCTCCAGAGTCGCCAACCAGGACTCGAACCGAGCGTGTGACCCCACCAATGGATTGCTCTCCGAACGAGGAATCCATTGGTGGGGTCACACGTTCCGTTCGAGTCCTGTTTAGCGACTGGCCGCCTCCACCGGTCTTCTGGCCCACTGTGCGCCAGTAGCGCCTCCGAGGGCGGGGCGGGCGGAGGGGAGGTTAGGCCAACGCGCTCCGGGTTAGGTCAGGTTAGGCGGAAGGGACTTCGCGCCACTCACCACCCCTTCGTCGTGCTGAGGCGCTCCGGAACACTGGCACGCACCCCTTCACCTGTTGCGCCCTCCGACATAACTCATTTTTTTCCCGCGCGCCCCCGACCGCGCGGCGTTCTGGTTGCCTCGGTGACACGGCACCTGCCGACGACAACCACACCGCGCTTGTCCTGCCGCAGGCTCGAGTACAGCAGCGCAACGTCGGCTGAGTCCAGACCGCGTCGCTGTCTCTCTCGCACCCCTACGGCCCGCCCCGTCGTCGCGAGAGAGACAGAGTGACGAAAGCAGTGTTCTGAACCATCCCCCCCGAGACCAGCCTAGAGACCAGCAAGCGCCTCCTGCACATATTTTGTCCGCTGTCACAGCACGGTCTAATAAAAGGGGAGCGTTCGAGGCGTCGCGTCGCGTCGCCGGCGCCCCGCCCACCTCGGGCACCCCAAGCCGTGGGCCACTGCTTCGTCGCTCTGTCTCTCTCGCACCCCTACGGACCGCCCCATGAGTGCGAGAGAGACAGAGCGACGAGAGCAGTGCTCGGAATCAGACGGCTGCGGCGGCCCTCGGACGCGGCCCGGAGATGTCCCCGCGCAGATAGGGGGCAGCCACTGCAGCAGGCCGACGGTAGGTGGCCGATAGGCTGCGGATTGGTGGCGCCTGCCGGTGCTGTGTCCCACACAGTGTCCCCGCCAGACGACCGAGCCGCCCCCGCCAGCCCCTTCGCCCCTTTTGGGTGTCGCCAGCCGTGTAATGCGGCCCGATAGGAGTCATAAAAATTTGGAACAAATAAAGGGTCGGCTTCTGATGCGGGGGACTGGAGGACAGGGGACACGACATGGTGGGGACACGCGGGCAGAGAGGGTCGTCGTCGGGGCCGGTCGGGGGCCTCACCGGCACCCCGCGGCGGGGGTGTCCTCGCCGGGGCATCTTCGCGACCCTTTCGCAAAAGACACACACACACACACACACACACACACACACTCACACACACACTCACACATACATACACACATACATACATACATACATACATACATACACACACACACACATTACACACGGGCGTAGTACAGGGCCGCGCCCGCCGCGCCACGAATCGTGCGTCGGTGCGGATGAGAATTGTGCACACAATTGCCCCGGGCGAGGCAGCAGAAAAGGCCGCCAATAATTATCCACTTTGGGCTTTTGTTCGACTCGGCGGCCGAAGCGGTGCGGCCGAGGCGGCCACTGCGGCGGCAAAGTCCCGGCCGTCCGCTCGCCGTCCGCTCACCGTCCGGGACGTCAGCCCGGATCGGCTTATTCGGCTCGTAGGGGGTTACCCTGGACGCTCTGGAAGGGGTGCGGGGGCGGGGGGCGGTCTGGCTTCTTGCACAGGTGGCTCGGCGCTCTGGGGCTTTGCCTGCTTTGCCCGGCGATCTTGCCTGATCACCCAGAACAGAATCGCACTACCGTCTGACTGACTGTCGGTGGCACGTGGCCCCTGGAAAAGTGTGCGTGTGTGCGTGTGAGGGGGGGGCGTCTTTGCTATGCGTCCGGGTGCCCTTGATGATGATGGCCTCGGCTTGCTGGCTCTGCGCGCTCTGCGCGGCCCGCAGAGGGGGTTGGCGGCGGCCCCGGCGGGCTGGTGGCTGCGGGCTGGGGGCGGGTCTGCGATGGGCTTGCGAGTGATACCTTTGGTCCCCCTGTTGGCACCGCCCGGCCCGGCCCCAGCCACGCTTAGCCCCCGCCAAAGCCTACGAGTATTCACGAATCCAGACTTCCAGACAGGCAGGCCTCTGCCCGCATGATAGACACACGGCCTGTCATTAAGGCATCTTTCGCCAACCCCGCCTCGTCCAGCCCGCCGCCCTGACCACCCCTTGCGCTGCCCCTTTCTCGCAGACGCGCTGCCACCCGACTTTTCGAGTTGAAGTCATTAATTTCGGGGGAAGGGAAGGACAACCCGCGGAGCGGCCGGCCAGTTTGCAGAAGAAGATTGCACTGTTCCCGCCCAAAAATGCCCACGATGCGCAGTGCCGAAAGGGTTGCCAACCCCAGCCTGCCTGCCAGGCAATCGCTGGGCTTTGCTATTGAGGGGTTGCCTAGCAGACAGGCTGAAGTTGGCAGTCTGAGCTTCGTCGGTTGTCTGTTTCGTGCCCTCTGTGCCGTACATTCGAACCCTTTGCCAACAAGTTTTAGTTTTGTAATTACCGGAGGGGAAGATGCATCCCGCGCGAACAAAAGACACGTTCCGCCCACTTTTCTTCTTCTCCTCCTTCTTCTTCTTTCTGGCCGTTCTCCGTACGCAGTGTCCCGCCCCACCCATTCGTCCAGAAGCCTGCAATTCGCCTGATTGACAGCGGATCAGCCCCACTGGAGCCGCTGGAACCGTACGCGTTTGGCCGGCCGGCCAGGCGCCTGGGCCGTACCGCGGCTGGGCCCTGCCCGCCCTGCCTGACTATGGCCTCTGACACCCTGGGCCTGGGCACGGCTAAAAAGAATGCGCCAAACCGGGTGGGGCTTCAAATTATTTTGTTTAAAAAATTTGTTTTGTACTTGTGATTTTGTGTAGTTTTGTTTTATGCATGCGACAGCCGTGTATGATGTAAACGTGTGCATTGCATTTCTTTCATAAATTTCGAATTTTCTTTCTCTTTTTGCCGTTTATTATCTGGTGCTTATACTAGCTTGGAAACTTCAAAACGGTTTAACTCTGAAAAATTTTCGTATTTGGCATTTTTTGGCATTTTTTTTTTTCAAATCTCTTTTGACTCTTTAATAGGTTCGGGTGGTGGTGAAACAAAGCACAAAGGGTTAGGTATAATTGTGTCTTTTATTTCATACTGACTAAAAACCTGGTGGTCAACATTGCCAAGGGCATCGATAAAATTAATAAATATTCAAAATAACTCTGACACACTATATAATACACAAGGCTAGGCGATACAAAGACGCTTGGACCAATAACACAAGACGAAATGGACAGAATATCAAGAATTATTTAGCTAAGCGTATTTCGCATCTCCATTCAGCACAATCTCACAACCCCTCATAAGGACACGGTAATTATCACAGACTGGTAAAAGAAAAGTTCATCCACTTTGTCAATTAGTTTTCAAATGAAAATCGACTTCAGTACACTAACAAAACAGGAGCACTTGAGCAAATTGGTAAAACTTAATACCCTCCTACGTAATACGGCACAATCGCCCCAACAACACTAAAACAACAGTCTCACTCTCTCTTTTTATGGAACACAAAAAAATGGAAGACTAACAAAGTTACTGGCTTCCCGCACTGGGAAAATAAAAAATCGCCACTCACGTTCACTGCGAAAAAAAGCGCTAAAACAAGGCACCACTCTAAATTTTCACTGTTTCACACACTGGCACAGGGTTCCAGGACGATGGCGCGGGCGGCGTCGCGGAGGCGTCGCGGAGGCCTCAGTGCAGCAGGTCGACGAGGGCGTTGATGTACGTCTGGGCCATCTGCAGCGTCTCGTACTTGGACAGCTGGCGGTCGCTGCCCAGCGAGGGGAGGTGCGTCCGCAGGCGGTCGAAGGCCGTGTTGAGGTTGAGCATGCGACGCCGCTCGCGGGCGTTGGCGGCGAGGCGCCGCTTCTTCACGACCACGGGGCTCAGCGCCTTGCCGCCCTGGCGCCGCTTGGCGACCTCGCTCTTGTCGTCCTCCTCGTCCTCGTCGTCGTCGTCCTCGTCGTCGAGCGCCATGGCGGCGTCCTGGCGCGGCTGCTGCACCTGCTCGTGGAAGGCGGCGAGGTGCTGGAGGTGGCGCTGCTGCACGGTGTGCTGCACGGTGTGCTGCACGGCGTCCCTGGGGTTGGGGCTCAGGGACCGGTCGCTGAGGCCGGGCGAGTGGCAGCCGTCCGAGCCGATGGGCTGCAGGGCCTGCATGCCCTGCACGGTGTGGCCGGGCACGGACTCCATGACGTGCATGTCCGTCATGCCGGGCAGCCCCCAGGACTGCAGGCTGGGCGGCGGCGACGGCGGCAGCACGCCCTGGTGGTGGTGAAGGTGGTGGTGATGGTGGTAGGACGACGTGGACGGGCCGACGCCGCCGAGCGGCCCAGCCAGGTACAAGTAGGTGGCCATGGTGGGGGAGCAGCTCGCGAACGCACGCACGCACGGCCTGCAGCACGCTGCTCGGAGCGACACGGAGCGACACGGACACAAGGGCGGTGGAGGCGGGCGAGGCTGGGCGGGGCGCTCTGACCGGGACGGCGGTCGCAACAGATCTGAGGGCTGGGGCACGCACCCACCTGTTTTATCACGTCGGCTCCGGCAGAGCCCGCAGAGCCGCCCTGCGTCCCCTCCGCCCCGCCCTGCGCCCTCGGGGACGGGGAGGGGCGGGGCGGCTGGGGTGCTCCACACGTGCTGTGGGGCGGGGTGGGGCGGGGTAGGGAGCGGTAATCGGGCCGGAGGTGGAGGTGGGGGACATCCCTTGATCCCTACCCTCTAAGACTGGGACGTGATCTCGATGCCGCGTTCAGAGACGTTTAACACATGCGACAGTCAAATTACATCTCTGGCATCGATATTCAAGTACATTATTGACAACTCTTTTCTTCCAGATACCAAGGTGCAGCCAAGGATGCTTTAGGTCCGACCTGGGGCCCAACCATGGCCCAACCCAAACTCGGTTTGGCCCCAGAGCTTAGTTGAACTCTAGTCGGGGTTAGGTTTGATTGGGGTTCACGCTGGGCCTCAGATCATTGGCCTCCAAACGAGACGGGGCTCATGTCGTGTACGCCCTTGCAACCCCTTTGCGCCAGCCTTTCACGTTCGACGGTGTACCGCCCGGCACTCTGGCTTATCGGGCCGGCTTATCTCACGGCTGCTTCACGCTCCAGTTGGAAAATCGAGGGCTGGGACGTAGCGCCGTGGGGTAGGCAACCCAACAAACACCCCCTTAATAAGTGGCGTACGTTGGGTTGCATATCCCCCCGGCGCACTACGCAGGCCGACCAGTAAATGACAAACGAGTTAATTAGGGATTTTTTTTAGAGTCCTTCTGAATTATTTTTATACTATTTTTATATTTATATGAATATGTCCGCTTGATTCCACCTCGTCGTTTCTTTTAAAATATTCAGTTGGTTTCGATGGAATAATTTTATGTGGTCATGTTGGCAGCAGTGGCACTATTGGCAGGGCAGCAGCACAGCAGACGACGAGACCGCTTCCTCGTTTACAGAGGTGGTTATGTTCATGTGTAGATTTGTTGTTTGTTCACCTCTGTGAGTATGTTGCGGCAAGGAACAACTTTCCTAAAGAAATCTGTCGTTGCCACTGGCATCGACTTGATTCCGCAACAAAATGCCATCTGCATCCAGCAAGCGAGGGGCTTGCGACCGAGAAAGCCAGCGTACTCAGGCATTGCAAAGACAAAGCTGTTTCGCATTCCCAAAGTTCCTGTTTATCCACCAGATGAAAAAGCTGAGATAGTAAGGCTTGGTAATCAGTACCGCACGTTTATGAAGTCTATACGGTAAGTAAATGTTATTATAATTTTTTTTAAAGTGTCAATGTTTAAAGCGGTGATGCATTTCCATACCAAGGCTGGTATTGTATATCTGTTGTCATTTTTTCACTCTTTTACTTCTTTAGCAACCACTTTAAGTTAGAAAACCAAACCCACGCAGCAGGAAGTGCTGAGGCTGCACAAGGAATAGAGGCAGAGGAGGCTGAATGGCAGGAAAGTCTGCTTCGACTAAAACAATGGAATGAGGAAGTTGCTCTTAAACGGAATGAAAGATTACTGTCTGAGCAGGCAGCCAAGAAGTTAGAAATTGAGACGAGGATACAGGAAGAAGCAGAAAGACAAGCACAACGTTTGAAAGAAATCGATGAAATTATCCGCAAAGAGAAGGTAGGTTATCTGTGCATTATAATACCTAGTAAATTGAAGCATGATGATAGTTTATTATTGATGTGTCTTTTCTATCACTTTCAGGAATTGTCAAAATCCTACATCACTCCTGAGAATATTGACCAAGCCATTGCTAAGGCTCTTGATGATAAACTAGATTATAACTATGCAATCGACGTGCGAGGAAACAAGTATGTTGGACGTTTTGTCAATGACTCTGGTGAGGAAGAATTACCACAATCAGAAGAAACGGATGAAACTTCCCTGCCTCCTCTCTTCCAATCTTCCCCAATTTCATCTGGTGCAAGCAAGTAGATAATTGTTTTGTGAATTAGTCACCATTGAGCTGTTTAAAACTCTTTCATCAATGGGAGAAAGGCTTTTAACTATTTACTAGCCTGCTGCAGTGATGTCTAGAGTCTACATAGAGGGAGTAAGAAATGTATGTTCACTCTATATAACATGTCTCTTTATGTTCTGTTAAATAAATGTAAGACCTTCTTTTTAGCTCTTATTTATTCTTCAAGCTTCGTACCCTAAATACTGTGTAAGTTTTGTGACATTGAAAGTTTTAACATTTACATAACATCCAATAAAAAATTGAGAGATAACAAATGATACTTGAAAAATGCTATTTCATATTTCAATATAACATAATGGGTTACAAATTAAAAGCACAGCCAAATTTTAGAATGCCAGCAAGAGATAGCTCCTGTGTTTTATTGATGACCTTTTTTTCAAGGCAGGAACAATACTTCTTCTATAGAAAATTATTGATTTGCATTGTTAACTGTTTTATTACATAAGGAATGTCATGGAAAATATGTTCCACAAACTATATACATGAATGTGATAAATGAAACAAAAAAAAAACAATCCACCTTCAGATTATCTGGACAAAAAACTGACAGAATATAGTAGAGAATGGACGCTACTTTTTCTCTTCCTTTTGCAATGCTGTTTTCTCCTGCTCTTCTTTAAATTCTTTACGGGCAGCACGATTTGATTCAAGGAGGTCCATTAATTTTGCATGAATTATGTCGTTCTGCTCCTCCAGCACATCGAGAGCAGAGTTGAGCTGATCCATTTGGCTGTTGAGTGCCTCGAACTCTGCAAACACGAGACCAATCATAAAAGAAATGAGCTGTTGACAGTTTCAAGCAATTTTTAATAAAGTGTTTAGAAAACAAAAAGACAACTGATTTCTGATTTGAGACTCGTGTCAACCACAAGTGAGCTAAAGGTTATGATGAAGTGAGAACAATGCCTAACAGCCACTAAGAAGAAGTTGTAGTGCTTGCATGTAGATATTAAGAATGACGTCATTAAGGTAACACAAAATTACGAGCACAATTTGGAAGAAAGACAAGCAAAAAGCAAAGCACCTTCCCTAGTGCTGTAGAAGCCCCATTCCCAAACACCAAGCAGAGCTTGTCACACGAAACACACCTTCTGGTGAAACATCGTCATCGTCTGGGTCGTCCGTTAATTCATGCTCCTGCCCATTTTCATCGCCATTCGCTGAGTCGCCGTTAAGATTTAAATCATCTACAGCTTTCGTCATGTTGTGACTGCCTTTCTCGTCGTCTGCCATCAGTGCCGCTCATGTGACAGTGTGGTAGTTCCTACGGTGGCCACCACGGTGAGGGCAGCGCCACTATGTGAAGGGGGAAGGGGGAGGGGAAGGAAAGAGAGAGAGGGCTGCCTTTGTGACAGTGCCGTAGACCAGCAATGTTTTGGTTTTTCAGTTGCTTGTTTTGCTTAAATTTTTAAGTTGGCGAGTTTTGATTCCTCTCGCAGACATGCATTCGGCCTTTTAGCATTTATTCTATGTAACCTTTTCCCCTTTGGTGGACACCATGTCAACTAATTCAACTCAAGCAATGTCGTCTGGAGATGAGGCCTTTGACTTCTTGTTCAAAATTGTCCTAATTGGTGACTGTGGTACTGGGAAAACTTGTATAGTGCAGAGGTTTAAATCTGGTACATTCGTCGAGAGACATGGTAACACGATCGGTGTGGACTTTTCCATGAAAACTGTCGTCGTTGATGGGAAAAGGGTTAAGGTTAGTTATTGACGTAGGTTAGGTCTCCTAAGAATGTTTTTAACCATGTATTATTATGTTCCATTTTTCTGTGTTGTAAACATTTTTATATGGTATCTTACTATTATTGCTGGCATGAATTGAAATGATATACATTGATTTTTGTGTTTGATAATAGCTTCAAATCTGGGACACCGCAGGACAGGAAAGATTCCGAACCATTACTCAAAGTTATTACAGGTCAGCGAATGGCATCATCATAGGCAAGTATCTAGATTCTTTAAAGTCTTTGTCAGTTTTACCATTATCTTGAATTTGTCAATACTCCCTAGTTGTCTTTGATATTGCAAACTATAAAATACAGAGCCATAAGACTTGTCTTGGTCTTGGTTTTGATGAGAGTAATGCTTCCTAACTTAACTGTTAGTAAGTTAATTGACCTCCATCAATTTGGATACAGGAAGGAACATGGCTTAATAAATAAGTTGACTGTCTCATTTTTCCATGTGCAGTTTATGACGTTACCAAGAGATCATCATTTCTCAGCCTCGAGAGGTGGATAGAAGAAGTTCGCCGGTACACAGCATCTAATGTCATGCTGGTTTTGATTGGTAAGTAAACATGTTTAGGAACATTGAATTGAACTTGATTGTAATAAGATACATTGACCTCAGTAGCTGAAATTTATTCATGTGTTTCCTTTGATTTCAGGGAACAAGTGCGATGCAGAGTCAAGTCGGGAGGTTACATTCAATGAAGCTACTGCTATGAGTGAATACTTACCTGAAATCATGCTTGTTCTTGAAACATCAGCAAAGGAGAACACAAATGTTGAAGATGCTTTTATGTTCTTGGCCACAGAGCTTAAGGTAATGAAAAGGATTTTTTGTTGTTGTTGTAAACTTTTGCAATTTGTTTGTAAAAGAAATGTAGCTCGTATAGCTTAGTTTTAACTTGCAAATCTTTTTTCAGCGGAGGCATGATTGCAGTGCTTTTGGAGATTCATCTGACTCTGGAACCGTCCAGTTAGGTGAAGGGAAATCAGTTCGTAGCTGTGGTGGATGCTCTTCGTAAGAAGAACTTCCACTGTACAAAATTGGGCTGTTACTGCTAACTGAGATCTGTAGTTAATTTTTCTATAATTGTTATATTGGAAGAATAGTGATCTATTATAATTTTGACATTTATAAAAGATTTGAACTTTGAGGCTCATCATTAAAAACTTAGGTTGCTCTAGCATAATAAGAATCTTCAATGAAGAACATATTTGTATATGAATCTGTATCTGAGCTTGATTGAAACCATTGAAAGTATGTGCAGTGTTAAGAAGGCCATTGGTAAACCCTGTCAATGATTTTTGTTAATGAAATTTTTAGTGCAGTGCTCTAATACATTGTGGGTGCAGCACTGTGTCAGGATATTTAAGATGCACTCTCTTTTTTAGTAGCATAATGCTGTCTTCAGTGCTTCAATTAATGTCTTGTACTGCTGCTTGGTCACTGCTTTGTTTTTCCTCATGTTTCATTATGGACTAAGTTTTAATGATTTTTTGTTGTTGTTAGCTATGATTAGCTATGTGTTCTTGCCACATGAAATTGTTACCTTCACTTGTGTTTATGCTTTGTTGTTACTGTATTTATATGCATATAACCAATTCTTGTGTTTTGCTTTTGACTATCCAAAATTCTCTGTGTTATATGCAAATAAATACAGTAGTTTGTTGCCTTTTGTTGTAGTTGAATCTTAATGTATTAAATTCCTTAAGAGTTAGGAGTATGTTTAGAACAGCAGAGTTGATATACCTGCAGACATCTTTGAAGTATTATTAGAAAGATACAGGCAAGATTGTCCTTAGAGTAATCTTGCTTAGGTAAGTCTATTTGTCTTCAAGATTCAGTTTCAACTATGTACTGTATAGCTGCCTGAATTAACTCCTATCTTGACAATGATTGAACCAATGCTTTTAATTTAATAGATTTATATTTTGCATTTTGAACTTTTTTTGTTCAAGGAAGTTTGTAGCTAACTACTCTTAAGCTGATAGGCATTGTCTGTTAGGTTGTGAGACAGTTGTTGGACGGTTTGTTTACTGAGCTTTTACACATTGGGACCATTCCTAAAAGTGGAAAAATAATGGACAATACAGGAATCGTTCTAATTTATTGTTCCATTAGGAAAAGAAAAGGGTAATTTTGTTCTTCCAATTTGATGAAATGTTACTTATCACAAGTTGTTAGCAGGTGATGATATTTGCTTTGGGCACATTTTCTTCTAGTATGCATCCTAGTTTTGCATATGCACGGTACAGATTTTACTCACACAATTGTTTGCACCAGATGCAAAAGTAATATGTTTATTGTGCTATGCTCCTTAATTTAGCATTTATGTTTTAATCTCCTCTCCTCAACTCTCCCATTACTGTATCAGATTTGCATAGTTTTGTGCCATATTGCAAGGCAGAGCTATTACCTTTGTGCTCCTATGTTCAGGTGCAGTGTTTTTGGAATGGAAGGGTCTGTAGAGTCACACCTGATCAGCTCAACTTATTGAATCGCCTGTCTCAAATTGTTTGCCATCTGTTCAAGAAGCTTCAATTTTTAATTGTAAACAAATTCAGATTCCTCAGTGACTTAAAATGAAAACCTTGTAAAAATGTAGTAATATGAATTTTGAAATGTGTCATTTCGTTGATTATTATTGGTTACTAGATCATGCTCATGTATATGGTTTCTGAAAATTTATTGAGAGACAAGCATAGAGTGTATCTTGTCTTTTCAAAAATCATATGATTTTGTATATATTTGAAAACTTAACTATTATCATAAACCGCATTATGAGTAGAAACTGAACCTCAGTCCCAAATGTTTTTTGCTAGGGACTAACACTAATTTCGTCCAGTAATAGTATATTTGTTGTTGGTAAACCAAACAACTTACTGTGATGTTTTTAAATAATTATTTAATATTTATTAAATGGTGTTTGTCCACATTGTTGGTTTTTGCATTAGCTGTAGAATTTGTGTTATGAAGTTGCCTTTTTTTTTCTTTGTATAGGTAGTATGCTATGAATTTTTTAAATGTTTACATGTAACATATCCCACCAACTCCTCTGATGTGATAAAATTCAATGCATGATCCATGACAAACTGATAGCTTCATTTAAGTGGTGTTTTGTAATGTTGATTTTTCTTTGATAGTTATAGAGAGTCTCTGAAACTTGGTCTTTTAATTAACACGCAGAGACAGAGCAAGGCCCCACACCACTCACTAACTCGCCTGCCCAGTGTCCACTTGTGTTGTTTTACTTTATTTTTTATTGTTCATTGAAGATTTGACGACTTGGTCGATCCTGCATTTTAACATCCCGTTTAGAAGCCACAATAAAAATTTTGAAACACGATTTTTATTTGTTTGTTTCCACTCCACCCGCCCCAAGACCCTTCCGTGGGTCTCTGTCGCACCAACACACAGTGGGCCAGAAGACCAGTGGAGGCGGCCAAAACTCTAAACGCGTTTTGAGCTCCAGAGTCGCTAACAGGACTCGAAGCGGGCGTGTGACCCCACCAATGGATTCCTCGTTCGGAGAGCAATCCATTGGTGGGGTCACACGTTCGGTTCGAGTCTCATTTAGCGACTCTGGAGCTCAAAACGCATCTAGAGTTTTGGCCGCCTCCACTGGTCTTCTGACCCACTGTGCTCCACAGGACGCCCCATGAGTGCGAGAGAGACAGCGACGAGCCTGCGACCTGGAATAAGCCGTCATAGTCACATCGGGAATCTGCATACAGCCCGCGCGCCACGCGGAGGGAGGCCGGGGCCGCGCCGGGCCGCGCCGGGGCCGCCGCGCCGCGCATTCAGAACCCTGCCAGAGCCGACAATGGCCGCGGCTTGGGCCGCAGCACCGCAGCGGCAGCAGAAAAGCAGAAACAAATCCGTTTTGAAAGTCAATACTCCTCACCTTTGTTTCGCGTCGGCCGGGGCGGCCGGGGCCTCGGGGGCCCACAATGGCCCCCGGTCTACGTACACCCGGGACTACCCGGGACGGGACGGGCGGCGCCGAGGACCGCGTCGACGAGGAGAGGACCACGCGGGGGAAGGGGGAGGGGGGCGGGGAGGAAGAGGCAGGATGGGGCAGAAAAAGGGAAGAACAGGTAGCGTCCAGAACCGGCAGGTTGCAAGTCGCTGGTAACGGGTATCACCGCCAGGGTGGTGGGGGCGTGGCGGGGCGTGGTCGGAACCGCGTGCGACAGGTGGGGCCGGTGGGGCGGTTGGGGAGGAGAGAGGGGGGGGAGGGGGCTGCCCTGGACGCACTCCTGACCCGCTGCCCAACAGAGCGACCAGGCAGCAAAGCAGCCGGCCAGCAGTCCAGTCACATGTGTCCGAGGTCCTGAAACGTGTCGTGGCGGGCCGGCCAGCGCAGCGCAGTGCAGTGCCGCGGGGTAGTGCCGTAGCTCGTGTCTCCCTTCGTCGGCTCGAACATTGAATCGCGCTGCTTGCCAACAACCAGTGTGTCGTCTGTCAGTGCCGCCGGTGGCAGTGCATGGCAGTGCGCTGGGGCGTCGCCAACACCGCCACCGCCGCCAACGAGTGCATCATTGTGCCGCCGGCTGGCCGGTAGCTGCAGTCTGCAGTCACTCCACCGACAACTACCCTCGGCCGCCAGTTCCAGACCCCCTGCGCGGCGCGCTGCGAGGCGCGGGCTGTGGCCCCTGGACTTCCCTGGGGACTTCACTGCGGACTGCCCTGGACTTCCCTGGACTTCCCTGGACTTCCCTCCGCCTCGCGCGGCCAGGTCGGTGCATCGCGAGGCGTCGCAGGGATGTTATCGGGTCCCGTCGCCGTGACTGCGACACGGCTCGGGCTCCAGGCGGTGCATTAAAAACAATTCTCACGGGGACGCGCCAGAAGACTCATTCCGAGAGTCCTTGACGTCGCTCTGTCTCTCTCGCTCCCGAACGGGGCGCCCTGTGTGCCTGTGTGTGAGGGAGACGGCTCGACGAAAACGACTCCCGGAATGAGTCTGTGCAGTGCCACCCGTATGCACGCGGCCCTCCTTGTTGGATGTGGAGTAACGAGGCCTCCCGTGCCAATTACATGCAATTGTATGCGCCAACTTTCGCACTTTGTTCCCCGTCGGTGCGGCGGGGCGGGGCGGGGCGGGGCCCGCAAGGCACGTTCTACGAACGAGGCACCACCGCCGACGTCTCGTAGCCCCACCCCGCCCTAGAGAACACTGTCTCCTAGATTTACTTTTTTCTCCGCGCGTCTGAAAGTTTTCGCGTGTCGCCTCGAAACGAAGGGTATTCATGAGCCGCACCAATGTGTCGATCTGTGTGTCAATCGAATGTGTGTCAAAGCCATCCAATGTGTGTTGCCGTCGGTGCGAATCCCCCCTGTGCGTGTGAGTGCGTGACTGCGTGTGTATGTGTGTGTGTGAGTGTTTGAAGGGACATTCCGCGCGCATCGCCGTGTTTTCGACTGACTGAGACTGAACTGGGTGTCCAGCAGTCCGGCCCGACGAACTGTCATTATCAAACAAGTCCAGGCGGCAGATGAAACCAGTCATGTAACTGGACTGGACAGCGCGCCGGACAGACGGGCGTACAAACAGACGGACAGACAGACAGACGCTCGGAGATTCCCCGCGCCAAACCGGTGACCCAGACATATTATTCGTGTAAGCTCGTCCCCCGCGGTCCCCCGGCTACCTCGGCCCGGTCCGCGCGGACCGTTCGCGAATGTGAATACGAATATGAGTGCCGGGTTGTCCGCTCCCGATTGGCGGCTCGGCGAGTCGAAGCCAAAGCGAGGTGCAGAGAAGGCAAATGATATAATGAGTCGAAATGACGACGAGCCGGCCGGCCGGACGACTTTTTCGTCACTGCGCGTCTCTCTCGCACTCGCGGGGCACGGCCGGGCACGGCGTGTCGGTGCGAGAGAGACAGAGCGACGCTGGGTGAGTCTGCTGGTCCGGCCGGTGGTGGGATTAAAGGTTGCGCCGGTTTCGCGCGTCTCTGCGTGTCTCCGTCATGCCAGCGCCACACCCCGAGCGCCGTTTTGCCGTTTTCGACGCGCTGCTTCGCCTGCTTCGCTGCTTGCCCGTCCCGATTGGCCTGGTCAACCACCTCGAAAAGTTTCCAGCTAGTGTCGCCGCGCTGGCATGCGTCCACGTCGCGTGACGGAGGGAGTGCGACCGGCATGGCGGCCGATGGCGGCGCGGGCAGCGAGCTCTAGGCTGGTCTAGGCCATCCACGCGCTCCAAGCGCTCCAGGGCGACGTCTGGCCGCCTGAGCAAACACACTCATCAACCCCCGAGGGCGCGTCGCGTGGCTCGACGCACGTGCGCCAGTGCAGCAGCGTGCTGCCCATCAGATGAGCACGGCTGGAAGTCGCAGACTCACGCCGATAATGAGTTCCATCTCTGAGTTACCTCTGAGGATGCACTGGGAGGACCCCGCCGGTCGCCTGATTCCGAGCTGAGATCGGTTTCCGTCGCCCCATCCCTCTCGCACTGATGGGGCGATACTTAAGGATGAGACTTCGGTCTGCCGCCGTCGCCCCTCGGCCCCTGGCTGCCTACGTCCGCGGCGTAGCACAGTGGCCAGAAGACCGGTGGAGGCGGCCAAAACTCTAGACGCGTTTTGAGCTCCAGAGTCGCTAAACAGGACTCGAACCGAACGTGTGACCCCACCAATGGATTCCTCGTTCGGAGAGCAATCCGTTGGTGGGGTCACACGTTCGGTTCGAGTCCCATTTCAGCGACTCTGGAGTTCAAAACGCGTCTAAAGTTTTGGCCGCCTCCACCGGTCTTCTGGCCCACTGTGCGTAGGCGTAGCGGCGCGGCGGCGGCGTCGCCCGCGGAAGCGTCCGTCGCGACGCCACCGCCGCGCATACCGATGAGGCCGAGTGTGTGAGTGTCATGACAGGCCGCCGCTACTGTCATACTAGCACATCTCGCCTGTCTGGAAAATCGGCTAAATTAGCATCTCGTCTGTGGGGGCGTGACGTTGGTGGCGGTGGCGGCGCAGGGCAGGGGAGCAAGGCCGTCTATCCGGTTAGCGCACCGGGAAGGGGGGGGGGGGCTGCCGGCGGATCGGCTGCAGTGAGGGCAACGGCAGCGAGATCAGGATCAGGATGAGGGCCTGTTGACCCAGACGAGCAGGCAGGCAGCCAGGCAGGCAGGCAGGCAGGCAGGCAGGCAGGCAGGCAGGCAGGCAGGCAGCCAGGCAGGCAGCCAGGCAGGCAGCCAGGCAGGCAGCCAGGCAGGCAGGCAGGCAGCCAGGCAGGCAGGCAGGCAGGCAGCCGCGCGGCGTCGCGTCACCGGGCCAAAGGCGGCCAAAGGCAGCAAAGGCATCCGATGGAAGAAGGAAGCAGAGGCTTGCCGAAGAATTTCAGTGCGCCGCGCTGCCAAAGACCGTCCCGTTTCAGGATCAGTCGTAAACCGGAGGGGGCGGGGGTTGCGGCGCCCCCATGGCTGCAACCGCCGCTTGATCGGCTGTCTCTCTCGCACCCCTGCGGTACGCGCCGCGAGTGCGAGAGAGACAGGCAACGCACAGTGGGCCAGAAGCCGGTGGAGGCGGTCAAAACTCTAAACGCGTTTTGAGCTCCAGAGTCGCTAAACGGGGCTCGAACCGAACGTGTGACCCCACCTATGGATTGCTCTCCGAACGGGGAATCCATTGGTGGGGTCACACGTTCGGTTCGAGTCCCATTTAGCGACTCTGGAGCTCAAAACGCGGACAGAGTTTTGGCCGCCTCCACCGGTCTTCTGGCCCACTGTGCAACGCCCATTGATGCGCGGACGGGAGCCGCGGTGTAAAGTCCCCGCCGGCCTGATGATGGTGTTTGAGCCAGCCAGCACAGCCGACCAAGTCTGCAGTCCGCGCTTGCGGCAAGGCGGCAAGATCTGCCCTAGCCACCTGCCTAGCGTCGCTCTGTCTCCCTCGCACCGCCAAGGGACGCGCCGTGAGTGCGACAGAGACGGCGACTATTCGGAATGGGACCGCCGGGCCTCTCCGCACGCGACGGCCGCGACAGCGGGCGCACGTCTCACGATGCAAACCCTGCAAAAGGAGAGGAGAGAAGTCATCGGAAATTTTTCACTCCCTTCCGCAAAAAAATCATACTTTTTGTTCCCGTTTCCGGGATCAAACCCAGGTGCAGCGCAGCTGGCCCGGCAGTGCGGCCAGGACGACGGCGTGCTGCTGCTGCTGGAGCTGGAACTCATCGGCAGTCGGGGCAGTGTGTTGCATCCATATTGATAGTGGACTGCTCTTCCGAATCCCCGTTCCCTTTCCGTTACAGCACCGCCCCGCCCGGCCTAGCCACCTGCCGGGCCCTCGGCCGGGCCGCAGACTCATTCCGAGCGTCGCTTTCGTCGCTCTGTCTCTCTCGCACTCGCGGGCCGCTCCGTCGGGGTGCGAGACAGACAGAGCGACGTAAACGACCTTCGGAATCAGACTGCAGCCTGCATGCAGGTCCGCTGGAGGCGTGGAAGCCGACACACTTCCGGGCTTCAAGTCTCCGGCGGGCCGCCTGGAGGGTAGGCAGACCCGCCGCGGCCGCGCTCGACGGGACGGCCCGCCCTGCACGGCGCTCTGCGACTATCGCTGTTGCTATCGCTGTAGCTATCGCTGTAGCTATCGCTGTAGCTATCGCTGTTGCTATCGCTGTAGCTATCGCTGTAGCTATCGCTGTAGCTATCGCTGTAGCTATCGCTGTAGCTATCGCTGTAGCTATCGCTATTGATATCGCTGTTGCTATCGCTAGTGCTATCGCTGTTGCTATCGCTGTTGCTATCGCTATTGCTATCGCTATTGCTATGGCTATTGCTATCGCCATCGCTATCGCCATCGCTATTGCTATTGCTGTTGACGGCTGGGCCACGGATCGTCTGCCTTTCGGGCACGACCCGCCACGAGAGGTGTGAAACGAGGAACTGTTCCGTGCTGTGCTGGCCGTGCTGGTCCTCGTTTCAGACGGCGCACTTTTGGTGGGTCACCGCCAGGGCCAGGACTCCGCCAGGACCACGCCGCGGCTGTCAAGCGGCAGCGGCACCCGGCGCCCGCGCGCCGTCCGGCCAACCTGCGCCGCCGCGCGCCGCGCCGACATCAAGACCAGTTTCAAGGCTGATTCAGACCTTGGCCTTGTAATTGGGTCACAAACCTCTGCAGAGCCCTGGGCCCGGCTGGCCTGGGCGCCCTGGCCTGGCCGGGCTGGACGCCCTGCCGGCCGGTCCAGTTGGGAGTGGACCGAGTGGACCGAGTGGACGGAGACGCGGCGGAACGGGTTCGGAGGAGGAACAACCTGGACTGGCAAATACCTAAAAAAAGAAGAACAGGAAGGCGCGCCTGCCTGCCGGCCGGGCCGGCCGAGCGTGCCTACGTGCGTGCGTGCATGCATGCGGGTGTGCACCGCCGTGGGGGGATTCCCGGGTTCGACTCCCGGCGCCGGCCGATTGGGCACACGGGTATAGTTTCTTCCGGTGTCGCCGCCAAAAGCGACGACGACGGCGACGCGCATCCTAGTTGGCGACAATGCGGCGCTGGCTCGGCTCGCTGTCCCGCTCCCTGCCTGCGTCTGGCCGTGCCGCCGCTGCGCCGGTAGGCCAGTCGCCGCCTAGCTGCGCCGCGACCTGCTTCGACACGCGGGGAATGTCGCCGGTATGGCTCGGGGGGCCGATCTGCGCGGCGCGGCGCGGTGCGGCCCGGGCCATCGAAAGGCCGAGACAATGGGCACGGCCGGCACGGCCGGCGCAGGGCCTCGACGGCGACGTGCCGCGTGACACGTGACGACGGCGACGTGACCGTCACGCCGGCCAGTGTGCCAGCCGGCCAGGGCGAATGGAAAGCCAGCTCCTTTTGGCAGGATCGCTTTTTCATATTTGGTGGCCCTGCCGCCCGCACCCCGACCCCTGCAGTCGTTAATTCAACACCTTCCCTCTCTCCCTCGCACACTCTCTCACCTCAGCCTGCGGGGTTATAGGGCAGTATATTATCTTTACGGCGGCTCGTATAGTCCGGATGAAGCATTAGTCTGCAGTAAATTGAAACAATAACCGTCGGCGAGTGTGTTTTGTGTTTTGAGCGGTCGGGCTTGATTTACTCCGCCTCCGTCGTGGGTGGGGCATTGTTCCAGTGGCCTGCATGCTGGACCCCCCGGTCGCCGGTCCAAAGCGGGGGGACAAGTGCAAGGGGGGCCGGGGGGGCACTGTAGGAAACGTCAACCGACATGACGCGGAGGGACACGTCAAGGCTATACGCACTACTACTCCACTTCGGCACCCCGCCCCGCCCCGCCCCGCCCCCTGGGGGACACTCCCGACACTCCCGTTACCCGTGTCGCAGAAATCCCTCCCCCCTCCCCTTCCCGCCCCACGCATCCCTGGTCCCGATCCTGCTGGCCCCCCAGCTGCAGCCCGCAGTCCCAAAGTTATGTGATAGAGCATTAGGGTAGGTTAGGTCGCTGCCGCGCCTTCGCGCCAGCAGTCACGACAACTGACTTTTATTTATTTTCTAATATTTTTTTTACTTTTTACTTTTTTTGCAGAAACCGGCAGCTGAATATTTCCCGACCAGTCCGAGGAGGCGGGGACGCCGGCACCGCTCCATGGATTGCCAGAGAGTGACGCCCGCCAATTGAGGTGAGCTGCTTTGAGCCCCGCCTGCTGTCACCGATGAATCAGTGCATCGGGTGTCGATACCCGGGTTCAATACCCGCCATTTCCATTCATTTTATTTCAACTTGTTGTTGTTGTGGGTGCTGGTGTTGTTGTCGTTGGGGTAGTGCATAAGGCAAGGTGCTCTTCGTGCGCGTGACTGCCGGTACAGGTGGTTGGAGCTGCTTCCGAACAAGCTTATCTGTCTGGGAATGAATGTCGGGGGGAGGGGGGAGGGGGAAGGGCGCCTCGAGGTGCACGCGCCGCGCGGGACAGCTCAGGACACGGTATCGCAAGGCGTAAGTGCAAAGTACTGGACGGGGGAGAAAAAAAAAATTCAGAAACGGTATTCGAACCCACGTTATTCGCAAAGCAAATGTGTTTTTGATTATATTTTTTTCTCTAATCCGCTCGACGTACATTAATGAGGCGTGTGACGCAGTCCGCGCACGGCCAGCTCGGCCAGGCCCTCCATCACGATGTACTAGTGTGTCACCAGCGCCAGCCGCGCCAGCCAGCGTCGCCTAGGAATTAGTCCAGCTGCTGCCAGCCAGCCAGGGGGTCACACACAGTCACACAGTCGCAGTCACACGGCGGGGCTGCCAAGCACTGCCAAGCCAACAACGAGACGGACCACACGCGCTCGCACACACGTACAAGCGGGCGCTCTCTCACACACACGCACGCACATACACACACACACACACACACACACCAATACACACACACTAACACACACACACACACACACACACACACACACACACACTAACACGCGCGCGCATGCTATAACCTACAAACGAAGGCGCGCGACGACTGCGACGCTACCGTAGCGGGATACAGATACTTACAAACGAGGGACGAAAACGGCGGCGCCGCCGTGTGACTGTGTGACCGTCTCATCGCGTCTCATCGCGTCGCAGCGCTGCGCGGGACCGGCCCGTTTCTGGAACTCGACTTTTATGCGTTGATATTAATATTGGAGCGAAAAGGCTCGGCGTCGCGGCGGCTCCTGGCAACGACACCCCGTCACGGCCACAACCGTTATCATCGCCGACGTCGGGGAGCAAACTCGCCTTCGGCCGCGGATTCGGCGCGTCGTCGCCGGACTCTGGGTCTCGGTCTTGACCTCGCGGACAAGCGCGGACAAGCCCCCGCGCGTGGCGACGCGAGGCGACGGGTCGTTTCTTTGATAGCACACCGGCGAACACGGGAAGGCTTCTGTGGGCTCGGCGGGGCTCGGCGGCAAGACGCTTGGGGCCCGTGACGGATGGCCCAGGCGGCAGCTCAGCCGCGCAGCCAGTCGCCGTCCTGGAGTACAGTCGGAAGCTTGACATCTCACAGGTGTGCATTGCGAGGAACGCACGTGGAACGCCCGTGGAACGCCCGAGGAACGCCCGTGGAACGCCCACCGATCGCCTGTGGAACGCCCCACTCGGCGCGCTGATATGTCCACGGATGCGGCCCGACCGGTTCAGATCCTCCACCGACTGTGCGGCCCGATGGCGTGCAATGCCAGTGCAGTGGTGCTAGATGGACTGCCCTGTCCGCGCGGCCCGGGGCCTGGCCCTGCCGCAGGCCTGTGGTACCTGCAATAAGTTATCTCGCACCACTAGGTCCACGACGTACTCGCTGGCCGCGCACGCGACACGCCGCGACCCCCACCCCCTGGACCCTGGACGACGGAGTGCCCACTGTCCACGGCGAGGCGCGGCCGCCTGCGAGGTAGGCCGCGGCCGAGGGAGCGGCGCGCCGGAGCTGGGCGGGCGGCCTACCCCGGCGTTGGCAGGCGCCTCGCCCGTCAGGCCCGTCAGCCACAGACCACAGGGCGATTGAGGAGGCCGACGAATGGCGGCAGGGCGCGCGAGCCGCGGCCACGCCCCCGCCCCCACCCCCGCCCCCACCTCGCCGACGACGCGACGACGACGCGCAGCACGCGAACGCGACGCCCGCGCCCGCCGTTCCCACTTCCCTTATGGCCGCGAATTCCTCGCCGACGACGACGCGATGGCGGTGACCGCGGAGACCACACCGAAACAAACTCACTGCCGATGCCGAGCGTGCGGCGACATTGTAAGAAACGCGTGTCTTCACAGTCGGCCTCGGTCGCGAGGAGCGCATTTCGAATGCCGGATTGGAGTGTGAATCAGTAATGAATGTAACGGTTGCCCTGCCCGACGGCCTGCTCGATGGCCAGCCCCACGGCCAGCCCAGTGGCCTGACAGGCTGGCCTGCAGACTGATGCCAGTCGCTCTGTCTCTCTCGCACCTGTACGGGACGCCCCATGTGTGCGAGAGAGACGGAGCGACGCTAGGAAACTCGGAGTCGGTCTGCCGACGGGCGCGACGGGCCGGCCTGCTGTCCGGCACACCGGAAGGACGACGCGGACGCCGGGCCCTCGGACAGTGGGCGCGCGGACAGAGGCGGGAAGGGCCCCCGCGCCCCAGGGCTCGCCGCCACAGTGGCGTAGCCGCGTAGCTGCAGACTGATTCAGAGAGTCGCCTAGTCTCTCTCGCACTCATGGGGCGTCCCGTGCAGGTGCGAGGGAGACAGAGTGACGCAAACGGCTCACTGAATCAGTCTGCTGCGTAGCTGCGCGGGAACCGCCGCGGAGAGTTACATCGGCGTGCTGCCGCGCCGCCGCAGCGGTGCCCCTCTGGCCGCTGGCTCGCCGCCAGGCCAAACCCTGGAACTGGACAGTGGACGCGCGACGCGCGCGCACCCACGGGGCACAGTGGGCCAGAAGATCGGCGCAGCCGGCCAAAACTCTAGACGCGTTTTGAGCTCCAGAGTCGCTAAAAAGGACTCGAACCGAACGTGTGACCCCACCAATGGATTCCTCGTTCGGAGAGCAATCCATTGGTGGGGTCACACGTTCAGTTCGAGCCCCATTTAGCGACTTTAGAGCTCAAAACGCGTCTAGAGTTTTGTCCGCCGCGCTGGCCTTCTGGCCCACTGTGCGGGGCTTGGCTTTGGGCTTGCCCGGCCCGTCCCGGCCCGCGCCGTCCCGCAGGCCTCCGAGCCCTGTCGCCCTGTCGGCATCGGCGACGCTGTTAGCTGCTGGCCTCCGTGCGCCAAATCCCGCCGGGAAAACACGGCGGCTTGCGAACCAAACGTCGAGACGAGGATCGAGAAACGAGGTGCGACCGATCGGCGGGGCAATTTGTCCAACCATGACGCCCCCCTCGGCGGCCCTCGGCGGCCCTCGGCCCTCGCAGTCCGGGGAGTCCGGGCAGCCCGGGAGTCGGGTCAGGTTTGCGCGCGTTCTGCATTTCATTTCGCCCGCCGGTCCGGTTGACGGCCTCGCCGGCCGCCCTGGCGGGGCTGGCAACCCGTCCAGGCACCCGGCCAATGCCCGCCAATGTCAATGTCTCTGTCGATGCCTCCGCCGTGAACTTGACGCCTGAGTCCCGGCGTCCAGGACGTCCGGGCCCTTGGACTTGGCGACGATTAGGCGGCCACGATAAATGGGTCAGCCTGTGCATAGCGCCTCGCCCCTAACGATCCCGCGCCAAACAACAACAACAACAACAACAACAAGCAGCAACAATAGCAACAACAACAATGCCGCGTGCGTCACTAAGTACCCGTACCAGTACCCGCCACACAGCCTCCAGCGCGGTGGCGCGCGCGCGGTGCGGCCCGGGAGGGAAGCCGACGGCAACAGCCGGCCGGCTCGGCTACACCGCCAACAGTTTGCCCGCAAGTTTACGGCGTGACGGAGCGACGCGACGCGACGCGACGCGAGGATTAGTAATTTTACGATAACGGAGTTCGAGACAGAGAGAGAAAGAGCAAGGGGACATGTCGATAAAGTAAACTGTACGCCATTCTGGAGGAGATTCGAGGTAGTAACCGAGTAAGCCTGCCTGCCCTGGCTGCCCCTCCCTGCCGGTGCCGGAACAGGGCTGTAAAACGAAGGAGTGCATTCAATCGGCGGGCGGGGTGTCGCGTAGCGGGCCGGAGCGATGTAGTCTTGTTTACAGCCCTGATAAAAATTAACTTTTCGGCGAGTCTTGAAGTTGGAGCGAGAGGTTCGAGGGAGCTGTCCGAACGAAACTAAATAGTTCGGCTGGCCCGATTAATCACAGCCGTGTGCCGTGTCTGCCGTTCCAGAGCCCCCGGGCCCAGCATGCCCCGGACGTGGCTGGGAGGTCCTCGCCTCGGCTCGCCGCTGCTGCCGCTGCTGCTGCTCGGCGCGCTCGCGGCGTGCGTCGGCGACGGACTCCCCCCGGACGGCGCGCCCAGCCCGAGGACCGGCACGCCCAGCGCGGCCGCGGACGGCGCGCCCCGCTCCCGCCAGAAGCGCCTGCTGTGGGTCACCAACGACGGGCGCCTCGCCCTGCCGCCCGGCACGGCGCTCACCATCACCCCCACCATCAGCATGCCCTTCGTGCGCTACCCGCCCGACGGCTTCCTCTCCAACATGTCCATCAGCTTGCCCTTCACGAGTAAGCGCCGCCCCTCGCACAGTGGGCCAGAAGACCGGTGGAGGCGGCCAAAACTCTAGACGCGTTTTGAGCTCCAGAGTCGCTGAATGGGACTCGAACCCAACGTGTGACCCCACCAATGGATTGCTCTCCGAACGAGGAATCCATTGGTGGGGTCACACGTTCGGTTCGAGGCCTGTTTAGCGACTCTGGAGCTCAAAACGCGTCTAGAGTTTTGGCCGCCTCCACCGGTCTTCTGGCCCACTGTGGCTCGCACTTACAGAGGGAAAGAGTCAAACGGGCCACCACGACTGAGCCATTCTTGTACACGCCAGCCGGCACGAGATTTTCGGGCTGTGTTAACGTGGCGCATTGGTTCTTTTCCAGTCGTGTTCGACAAGCTGGGCCTGACGGACAACGAGAACCCCTACGGCGTGCTGCCGGCCATCCTGGGGCGGTCGCTGTCCCGGACGGCGGGGGAGGCGGTGGCGGACTACATCGGGGAGCTGCTGTCGCACCGGAGGAGGACGAGGGAGGCGGGCACGCCGCTGCCCATCCCGACGCGGCCCTCCGGCGTCAACCTGCACGGCGGCGAAAGGTGCGGGTTCGAGTCCCCACTCCGGGGCACAGTGGGCCAGAAGACCGGTGAAGGCGGCCAAAACTCTAGACGCGTTCTGAGCTCCAGAGTCGCTAAATGGGCCTCGAACCGAACGTGTGACCCCACCAATGGATTGCTCTCCGAACGAGGAATCCATTGGTGGGGTCACACGTTCGATTCGAGTCCTGCTTAGCGACTCTGGAGCTCAAAACGCGTGTAGAGTTTTGGCCGCCTCCGCCGGTCTTCTGGCCCACTGTGCGGGGTTTGGTTTTGGTTCGACTGCTGACGCTGCCGTGTCCGCAGGGCGCTGCTGTACACCATCGTCGAGGACCTGCTGGACAACTTCGGCATGGACGGCAAGGCGTGCCTGCTCAGGGCCATCTGCGAGGTCCACGGCCGCTCCGCCGAGTCCATGCGCAGCCTGGGCGTCATCGGGGAGATGCTCCAGCTGTTCCTCACGTACGTCAAACGCCAAAACGACCCATTTCTTCGACAAAACAAAGACCCCTTTGAAAAACGCAGCCGATTGATGCCGATTTTGCGATGCTCCTTGTAGGGCGAGCAAGTCGCCGTACTCGGGCCAGATCTCCGAGTACGTCGAGGCGGAGCGGGCGGGCGCGGGGGACGGCGAGTGCTGGCCCTACTTCCGGGACTGCCCCAAGTCTATCTTCCTGCCGCCGAGGAAGAGCATGTATGCCCCACCGTAAGTACTACTGCAACCGCGCGGATTTGTCGTTCCGACGCTGCGGACGGATTCCCGGGTCTCTCTCGCACCTGCGCGGGACGCCCCATGAGTGCGACAGCGCGACGAAAACGACTCTCGGAATCAGTCTGCTATATGGCTTTATGGGTCAGCCGGCGAGCCGAGGCGCGCGTCGGGTTGCCTAGCCTGCACTCGGTGGGCGGGGGCGCCGCTCGGACAGCTCGGAGCAGCGCGTCAGTGGGCAGCGTGGCACAGTGGGCCAGAAGACCGGTGGAGGCGGCCAAAACTCGAAATGCGTTTTGAGCTCCAGAGTCGCTAAATGGGACTCGAACCGAACATGTGACCCCACCAATAGATTGCTCTCCGAAAGAGGAATCCATTGGTGGGGTCACACGTTCGATTCGAGTCCCATTTAGCGACTCAGGAGCTCAAAACGCGTCTAGAGTTTTGGCCGCCTCCACCGGTCTTCTGGCCCACTGTGCGTGGAAGAGGGAAGGCACCTGACGGGGCCGTTTGTGTGTTGCAGGGACGACCCCGCCGCCACCCCCTCGGCCGAAGAGCGGACCCAGCCGGGCGCGGAGGCCACGGAGGCCCTGCTGCACGGGAACGTCGTCATGTGATCGACGCTCTGCTCCGCTCCGCGGGACGGGCCTCGCGCCTCGCACCGCCCCCGCGGACCCCTCCGGGACGCGCCTAGTCCCTAGTCCACGGACGATAGTCTAGTCAGCAGTCTGCACTAGAGAGCCTTTCTAGTGCCCCCCCCCCCTTTTTCCAGTCGCGAAGGTCAAGACGAGTCGCGGTCCAGCCCCAACCGCCCCTCCGTACTTCCCTGAAAGACATCCGACGACCCCCTGGCCTCTGGCAAGGCCTCTGGCCACCGACCCGCCCCCGACTGCTTTTTCTCTGTAGCGTAGTTGTTGTGAACGCAGCGCGTCACCCCAGGCGAGACCATTAGGCTAGATCGAGCGTCATCGTCATTGTCATTGCGAGGTTCTGTTTGCAGCCACAGCCATGATAGCCATGCGGTGCTGCGAGGAACAGTCAGGCTGCAATCGGCCTCTTTCTCCAGCATCCCTCTTAGCTTTATCTCCCGCTCCGGCGGCCAATCATGTTGTATATTTTCTTAGGTAAACTATTTATGTAATTTTTAAAAAAGATCAGTTTGTGTGGAAGGCATATTTTTTAAGCAATAAAAATACGACTGATGTGACACTTGTTTTACTTTTTTTAAATGCCTCTTAACTGGTAAAGCAAAGATGTGCTGGCACAATGTCGTAGACAATTTACAGATTTTTTTTTTAAATTAAAAGATAATCTATTGAGGAACAAAACTGGAATGATAAAGGATTGGAAAATTATCAAATTGATACAAATTAACATAGCACTGGACTATTAGGGGGCAAATTTCTCACTCTCAATTCTACCAATTGTGATACATTCAGCCAACAAAATGTAAATACAGAACACAATCCTTGCTTAGTTGACTGCACTAAGCAAAAGTTTCCATGAAGCATATGTGAGGCAAAATGGGGTTGAATGAACTAAATGAAATGAACTTTATGACTAGAAATACAAAATGTACAAATTTTAAGAGATAAAATTGTCATTTCAAGCTGAATAGATGCTGATTGGCAAGTCTATAAATTTAATTGTCCAATATGGAGTCATACATCTTTCAAAATTTTACTAGAGATGAAAGTTAGACCATATGGGTCATATCACAATGCAGGCAAGCCCCTTAGTGGTTCCAGCGTCTCAGCAACATTCGGTAATAACGCATAACAGTTGGACTGTTGGATATCCCAACAGCACTTAAAAGTAGCACATAGCCCAACATAAGGGTGAGAAGTTTGTGTTTACTGAACCAGCCCATCATTGAATCATCAGCATTTTTTCGGCTGTTGACAGAATAGAACAAGAAAATTAGTCCATTGAATTATGTGAAGTAAAGACTTCTAAACAAAATCTGCCTTACCAGGTCATAGGGTGAGGATTTCTTCCATCAACCATTAAATACCTAATTTTTACTAAGTCACTGTTTTTAACCAAAATATATTTTTGTGGCACAGGTCCAAATTGACTATCTTCTGCGGCTTTGCTTGTGACTGCATCTGAGAAGGGACAGCAAGATCAGTCAGGTGATACCTAACAAAGTACAGTGCATCAGTGAAATTTAATTCAATGAGAGCAGCATACCTTGTTTTTCATAGATGACATCAGGATGTTCAACTATTTCACAGAGGACCATACAACTTAATCCACTGCCAATGAGAGAACCACCCCAGCCACTGCCACTTTGACTGTAGAGGAGGGCTGTATTATAGTCGCTAGCAAGGTAAGAGCCAGTACCATAAATATCACGCTGAATCAAAAGAGATATGGGATAAGTTAAATTAATTATTTTTTTAATGGAAAGAGAAATAGCTTTGTCAACTAAAAATAGGTTTAACTCTTACTTTGGACAAGGTAGAAAGAAGACCGTGGCATAGGATGGAATAGAAGTTCTCTAATCGGGATCCATGGTATCCCCAAAATGTTTTATGGCCTTTGGACAGTTCAAGAAATCTTTTGTTTTTTTCATTAGTGCTTTTGTGGTCGACAGCAAAAATAAAATGAGGTCTTGTGACTTTCCCTCCTGGCGCTTTTGAAATAACCTCATCAATCTGTAAATATTAAGCATATTAAATATATTCAAGATGCTAGTAGATAAATGTAAATTTGACACAACTATACATACCTCTTCTTTGGACAAGGTCCTGAATCCAGGATCATCTTGAATGATGAGAGCCCAATAAAGTAATTCAATAAGGGATTCCCGATTCCTTGAATCCACTGTCGGATTCTCCAGAAGAGAGAGTAAGGTGGGAAAGGCTACCATCTGAGTCATGACGTCTCGCTGCAACAAAAACCAGCCATCACACTGCCGACAAACACCACCACACAAGGAAGCACAAAAGACGAGAGAGTAAACATATACGTACAAGTCTATCAATTTCTTTGACATCGCCACAGACAAAGTGTGGGGGGAACGGCCTCAGAATTGTATCGTACTTGTAGCTCTGGGCGGCAGCCACAAACAGGCTCCATCGAACGTCAGCCGCGTGCATGTCGCTGCGAATGCATTTGCAGAGTGCCTGTCTCTTCTCTTGCAGCGACACTGTGGGAAGCGAGTCCCCGTCCATGGTGGCCTCGGTGCAGTGTCACTCCACTGTGTCGGCGGCCGAGTGGCAGTCAGTCGGCATACAGAGTTGCGGGTTATGGGCGGCACCAACTTTCACGCGCAAGCACCCACTGTTCAGCGACAGAGTAGACCGCCAGGACAGCATTCAGAATCGCAGTCAGTCAATCATTTTTGGGACGTTCCATGGGATCGGAAAACGCAGAACGGGGGTTTGTTGACAAGTTACTTGTGATGTTTCGTTTCGGGCTGTCGGCGCAGACTTGTCCGAAAGTAGTCCTAGAAACGCCACCCTGAACAAAAACAAGAGATTTTTGTTTTGTTTTTGTGATTTGAGAGTTTAGTTGTGATTTCTTTTAAAAACTACAGACGGGAGCTCGCCCAGCCTCGTTTACCACATAAATTTCCAACCGGAGCAAATAAATACAAGGCAACTCCGAGGGCGAAGCTGGGCGCAGCTCTAGCAGACAAAAGGGAAGGCGAAGCAGACAGTTTTCTGGAGCTGAGCGGAGGTTAGGCTTCGCTACTACAAACGGCTGCTCGAGCTAATCACAGCATGTCAGTTGCTTCAATGGTCGAGCGCGGCCTCAGATAGAGACCTTCTAATTTTAATCGGCTGTCGATCAGCCGTAATGCCTTTCTATACCCTACACTGTTTCCGAAAACACGCACTACTTGCTGCGGCGGCGCTATCCGCCGGTGCCCGGATGCGGGAAGGCACTAGAAACAAAAGACGACCGCCAATTGTAGTCGACCTGGGGGCAGTCCAGTTAGCCAGCGCAGGGCGAGTCCCGTAGCCAAACAGGCCCTCATGCGGCCGTGTGCCGTGTGCGCGGCTCCCCCGGGCCGTGTGTTGTCGTCAAGAAGATCTCAGCTGGCCCTCGCCGAAACAGCCCCATCCTTTTCGTCCTTGCACCCAAATATCCGAAAAGAAAGAGCCCCTCATCAATGGAAATGGTTTGGGGAACGCACTGGTCGCGTGAAATCGACATGCGAAACCCCGGTGATGCTCTCTAGCTCACTATACGGTCTAAACTAGGTTATATATTCGTCACGGACTGTCGTTTTTAAGTTGACGTTTTCTCGTCTGTTCCTTTCGAGAGGCCTAGCTCTGGTCGGTGACTTTTCTAGTGTGCCCTCCCGAAAGTCCAAGCGAGTTCTGCCCTCTTAGCGTATAAATTCTGGGCTTAAATCTCAAAGTGCTCGAAGTGCGACCCGTCCAGCCTGCGAGAATGCTGTGTATTTGTAAATCGTCTATTGTCATCATTCATGCGTCAAAGATTATGAATGATCGGGGAGCATATCACCGTGGTCCAACGTATTCTTACAGTATTCTGAAGTACTAGAAGATAATGGCTGTTCTCAGATAGCAGTGATATAACCTAAGTGTAGCAGACGGCTTCCCCCTCCTCTTTCTGTAACCCCCTCCCCCTTCTCCTCCCTCCCCTCCCCCCTCCCCGTGTGTTTCTCTCTCTTTCCCTGGCCTCATGATTCAAAAGACCATGGATGTAAACAGTGCGGCGAGGGCTTTCAAGCCAGTAGCATCTAGCTGGTCTCTAGTCATGGCTCGTGTTCCACATGTCGATGTTTATGTGGAGCAGGCCACGCTCTATGATGGAGCGGCAGAAGTTATTGCTTCTATCAGGCCAAGCTGGAAGCTGAGTGAAGTAAAGTACAAGGTGAGGCGCTCTTCAATTTTTCAGAAATCAACGTTTGAATTTATCATAGGGTTTGCAATTCTTTTACCAAATTTTATTTACTATAGTCAACAGCAAATTATTTTATTTTGTTCTAATATCAAATTTTATTTTGATTTATTATCCAAACAAAAGAGAGACTTCCCTGTAAGAGGGGCGTATACCTATCCCTCTTGACTATTATTATCTCAGAATAAAAGAATTGTTGGTTCTGACATCTCTCTTCTCACAGATGGCTTAAAAATGTGTGAAAGTTGTAATATGATAAGAACATTGACTTTCTTGGGTGTTGCTGACTGATAATCTCACAGAAGCATTGCCCCATGACATGGGCTATCAGTGGGTTCGCTGGCACGGTTACTGGCCCTTTCTCACATCAAGTCCTGTTATTCTTTATTCTTGCATGTTTTTTTTCTCAATCGCCCAGCCTCAGTTCGGGAAGTTATCTCTGCAGCCAATCTTTTGCCTTGTCAGCAAGACTGGCAGTTTCTGTTGTTTTAGTTTAAGTAATAAATGTGCGAAGATGAGCCTAGCTCCAAGACGCGCGCACAGTGGAGGTCGAGCATTGAACTGGCCGATGCGAGGGAAGTCCAGATCCGCGACGGGTTGCCTCGCACGCCCCTGGGGAAGTCCATGGGGATGTTGCCCGCTCCACTTAGTTTGATCGCCGTGTAGATGTGGCAGAGAGCCAACTAAAACCAGTGCTCCCTCCCTCTCCGTCTCTCCAAATCTGTCTCTCTTTCTAAGAAGAAAAACTGATTTCCTGTTGTTATCAGTCGGCTACCTTTGCTCTGCGCTGCAGCGCGCTGCCCGTCAAAGTCCCAGCTGTCAAGAGTCCTTGGCCCGGTGGTGGCAGTGGGTCTGGGACACTGGGACAGGACAGATGGCTTGCGGAAGCGATTAAAGAGGGAGTGAGAGGGAGACACTCGCTGGGAACGGTCGCCTCGTCTCCTGGGGTTTTACAGTGCACCGTAGTGTACAGTGCGGTCGGCTCTCCTTGTTTTCGTTTTCCATTCTAGTGACACGATTCCACCGTGTCCGTGGCTTCGGCTGCTTCGGCTTGCAGTGGCGTGTCGGACAGGTCGCGCGCCACCTGTTGTCCTTGGCGTTCCCGCCTGCTCCTGCCTCTGCCTCCCGCGGCTCGGCGTGGCGTGGCATAACGTGACGTGACGTTTGTCGGAACGTGCCTGACGTGTGTCAAATGGCGACAGAAAAAAGGAGGGGCGGGGGTCCTCCAAATCTCTTCCAAACGAGGGGCATCCGGGGGGTCCTAGATCATGCAGCAATTTAATAATGCGATCATTGGTCTCCCCCTCACACCTACATTTTTGATTTGACCCGAATACTCGACCCTCGAGGACAGGATGGCCTGCTCGCGTCGTTCTTGACGGCCTTTCGAATCGTGTCACACCCGCCTCTGTGGTAAACAGGACGCCCAAATGTTTCAATAAATTTTTGTTTTTATTTCTTTCCAGCTCTTTACGGATGGCATCACAAACAAGCTGGTGCACTGCTCGGTGCCAGACGACGTGCTGCTCATTCGGATCTACGGCCACAACACGGACCTCCTCATCGACAGGCAGGCAGAGGTACATAAAAAAAAAAATTAAAAAAAAACACCAGAGGAAATTATTCTTTTTTTTATCACCAATGATTCCTATTTTGGTTTTCACTGACAATGTAGGTGCGCAACATCAAGTTGCTGCAGCGCGCAGGATTCGCGCCCCAGCTGTACGCCACGTTCAACAACGGCCTGGCGTACGAGTTCGCCCCGGGGTGCACCCTGGACGCCGCCCTGGTCCGCGACCCCGTAGTGTACCCGCTGGTGGCGCGCCGCGTGGCCCAGCTCCACGCGCAGAACGTCGACGACCTGCTGCAGGACCCGGGGCAGCAGCAGCCCCGACCCATCCTGTGGGACATCATGAACAAGTACATCACCCTGCTCAAGGGTGCCTTTACGGACCCGGACAAAAAAGCCAGGTCTGTGCATACGGCCCTAGTATCTAGTTTTCTTTTTTGCTGTTTTATGTCTTTTTCATAATTTCTCTCTGTTCTAATTTGCAGGTTTGAGAAAAAATTTGGTGGGGTGCAATGCCTTCAAACGGAGATGGAAGATTTACAACAACACCTGTCAAACCTAGGCAGTCCAGTTGTCATGTGTCACAATGATTTGCTGCTGGCAAACGTCATACTGGACCCAAGTCGTGACAAAGTTACATTCATCGACTATGAGTATGCTGGGCTGAATTACCAGGCATTTGATATTGGTAATCACTTTGCTGAATTTGCAGGTATGTAGTTGTTGTGCTGTTGAAGAACAGAAATGGATTTTTCTATGACTGTTGTTTCTTTATAATTTTGAAAACTGTATTCTTTTCTTGTTGATAGGAGTTGCCACAGTTGACTACTCTTTGTATCCTGACAAAGAACTCCAATTCAAGTGGCTAGATATTTATTTGAGGGAATTTAATAGGCTTAAGGCAGGATCTGAAACGCCAAAAGATGTTCTTCCAAAAGATGTTGAAGACCTGTATGTTCAAGTTAACAAATTTTCCTTAGCAGCTCATTTAATGTGGGCCTTATGGGCTATAGTGCAGTCAGAGCATTCATCAATTGAGTTCAATTTCTTTGAGTGAGTGATTTCCTTTTGATGCTTTCTGTTGATTTCAACTATTGCGTTAATTTTATTTTATATCATAAATACTTATGTTTTAATTTCCCTTCATACAATTTGTCCCAGGTATGCATCAATACGATTGGAGGAGTACTTTAGCAAGAAGAGCTTGTTCCTTTCTCTTCAAACAAGCAGTTGATGCCTGAGATGGTGTCTGTGGCCAGTCAATTTTAAGGGCGCTGTACACCATAAAATTGAAAATCTCTTCTGTTTTCCTCAACAGCTGGGCATTTTTCGCTGAAGCAATTTGTTTATCAAAATTCCAGTTTGTATTACCTGCCCACAATTTTTAGTATGTTTCTGTTATCTTTCTTTTAGTCAAAACAAACTTGCATTCCTATTTAGTATAGTATTCTTATTCTTGTAAGGGTAACCAGAGTAACTTTTATAAACAGAAAAAAATGTGAAGGCATTCCAAAGAGTCTCTTAATGTTCTTTTATACAAAGTTTTTCTTGTTATACAAGTCTTATCAGTGAACTAAAACCATCTGAATGTGTCAAGTTCACTTCAATGACTTTTCTTTGATTGCATTTTTTTATGCATCTTTATATTACATTCCAAAAAAAGCTTTACTCTATTACTTGGCAATCAATTTTGTGACTGACTGAAATGTAATGGCAGTGCATGGCAGTGGAGCAGTGCTCTCTAAAACATTTAAAAAATGTATGTTTTTGTGTTGTTGATGTGTTGCCAATTTTTAACCATACAATTTTACCCAAAATGACTTGTGTGTTCTGCCATTTGCTTCCATATATTTTGTTCTCCATTTTACTATATGTTTCACTTGGCAGTGGCACATTAATCAGTACCAGTCAACCATTAAAACGATTCTTAAGGTGTCGTTGAGTTAAATCTATGATTTAGTTTCACAACACCAACATGTTTTTCAGTAGAATCACTTGTGGGCATCGCAGTTAATTTAGATATAAAATGGTCATTCTAGAAGTGATTCTTTGTGTTCTGGGTATTCCTCAATTTACTTTTAACCATCTCAAAACATGAAAAGTTCCCTCGTCCTTCTCTTTCTCTCTCTTCCCCTTCCATATATTTGTGCATCTTTATCTGCTCCCTCCCATTCCTCAAACATCTATTGATGTTAGCATTAATTTATTCATGGAGAGTCATGTATTGTGAATTCAAAATTTGCACTGTTGCTGCCAGTTGGTGTGTATGGACTAACTCATTCTTATTCCTTGATGTGCAGTGAAATGACAAGAGTAGCTTTGTAATGTGAATCTCTTTATGACGTCAAACTCATATCATTTTTATAATCGACTTTTACTGAAATTTTGTAGATTTATGTAAATGTTTTATGTGGCCAAAAACATTTACTCATTATGTTTTATTTTATTCTACAAAACACCTGCTGAAATTATGTGAAGCACAGCATTCACCTCGTAGATAAGCAAAACTGTAGAGATGCCTATTTCCAAGTTAGCTTGGTGTCAAAGTGTCAACTTATAGTGTGCAGAGCATACTAGAACCAGTGAAGAAAAACCTCTGTGATAAATTTTCATACTTCATTACCTTGGTGCAAGTTTGATTTTCTTTGACTTAGTCATGTATTTGCCTCACAAAATAGTCTACTGTATTTTTAGGTTGAGTAGCTATGAGTATTATCAAAGAAATATAGAATGAAATCTGAAATAAAAATGTTGATCTTTCAATGGTCTCTTTGTACTCCGATTCAAACAGAGATGGAAATTCGCTCCAGGTGTTTTTGAAAAGACCGCGGTCCTCTGCGTTCCGCCACAAGCTATTCTACCAACTCTGCAATTTAAAATACAGCTTTTCTTCCTTCTCCTTTCAAAAGTTTGAAACAAAGACATATTCCTGATTTGCTGTGCTATATACCAACAGTACTATTAAATATTAAGAATCTGTCCACGGCAATCATTTTCCAGTAAAAGTGCAACAAGAACTACTATGGGTACTTGGTATAACTTTGACGTGTTGGTATCCGTGGCTGTTGTCTGCTGGGCTTCGGGTGTCTTCTGCTAGGCCGGTTTGCCGGTTCGAAGCTATTTTGAACAGTGATTGAGTGCTTTTTATGGCGCTTGATGACTTAGCTTCGAGTTCTGGAATCGGTCTTGTACTGACAGTCAGCTATGGCAGTATTGGGCAAGCTAATGGTTGCGGGGCTGGGAGGCCTGGGTGGTCTTACAGGGGTTCTGTACGCCTCCACAGTGTTGTCAGACACTAAAACAGTCGTCCAGGCGTCTCAGAAGATATCTAACTTGAAAAATAAGCGTTTCGAAACCGACTACAATGGTTCATACGAGCCTGCTATCACAAAGTGGGATTTCAACTGGGACAGGTGATTGGAATGCTTCTAGACTCACTGTTGTAAACAAACTAGATGTTTGATGTGTTTGTTGCGTTTGCATGCGAACTGGCTGTTTTCTTCAGGAGAGACCCATCTTCCATGGTTTCCCCATCAAAAGGGGGTGAAGATGATATTCGGCACAAAAGAGATTTGACAATTGTTGAACCGAAGGCTGTGCGGCACCTTCTTTTGATTCGGCATGGACAGTACAACATTGATGGCAATACAGACAAAGAAATGGTCCTCACTAAAAAAGGTAGATATATCTTACTGCTTCGTTTGTTTTCTCTGTGAAACCTTGATTTTGAGCTTGTGACATTGAATTTTTATTTCGTTGTAGGTGTTGAGCAAGCAAAACTGACGGGCAAGAGGCTTGTAACATTGAATTTTCCTTACACTAAAATGATGAGGTCTACAATGACAAGGGCACAACAGACAGCTGACCACATTCTTAGTCAGATGAAGCCTGGTGCATTTCCAATCAGTGATGACAAAATGTTGGAAGAGGGGGCACCATATCCTCCTGAGCCCTCTGTTTATGGTTACGACCCATTAGACTATGTAAGAGTCCTTCATTTTATTCTTCTATTTTTCCTTTTGTGAGCTACTCTTATTTTATTCTAGCATTTAAATTTTCATTAATTTTTTTTAGGAATTCTTTCAAGATGGTTCTCGTATTGAAGCTGCTTTCAGGAATCATGTTTACCGTGCAGACTTTAGACAGCTTCAAGACTCCTATGACATAATTGTGTGTCATGGAAATGTTATCCGTTACTTTGTCTGCAGGTGAAGTAAAATTATGCATGTAATCTTACCAAGTGGCAAAGCAGAATGAAACCTAGTTAACTGTGCGTTTCTGTCTGCAGGGCGCTCCAGCTGCCACCTGAGGCATGGTTGCGTATGGATCTTCGCCATGGCAGTATTACATGGCTATCGGTTTGGCCAAACGGATTAGTAAGTCTTAGATGTTTAGGTGACAGCGGTCACTTTCCTCCAGATCTCCTTACATAGGTCGCAATTCGTGAGGTTTGCATTGCTCAAAATGGTGTGTAAGTTGAAAGAAAGAAAATGTGTCCTTCTCTTCATTACTATGTTTGTCATGATCCCGGGACTTTACGGGTGACTTTAAAAGACTGTTAATAAATCTGCTGATGAACTACTACTCTGTTTTACGCGTACGTGTTGAATAATTGGCCCTTTTCCCGAAGCGTGCGGACACCCCGCCTGAGTGCGAAAGTGGCTGCGCGACGAAAACGACTCTCTGAATCAATCTCATGGGCGCCCCGGGCGGCCCCCTGATGGAGCTAGGGAGAATTGGGGATTTTCGTTATCCTTAGGAATTCCTTAGGGACATTGTCTTGGCTGTGATCAGGATTGTCCTATTTTGTTTCAAAGTAGATTTCCTAGGGATAATCCCCGGATATCCCTAGGGATAATCCCCGGATGTCCCCAGGGACAATCCGTAAAAATGCATGGGGATCAAAGGAGGACACGAACCGTCCAGCACCGTTGTCAGTCCTGCACCATCTTCTGATTGAATCTCACGATTAGTTCAACAAGCAAGTGCCAGGTGGGTACTGGCGACTCCACCTCAAAAATTCAACTGCAGACCTGACGAACCTCGGAGATGTCCTATGGGACTTCTAAACTCGATGGAGCAGCCCACCTTTACCCTATGTGAACAGCAATCGTAGCGACACGCGAGAGGGAAATTAAATTGGTCTTTTAGGGCCGATAATGCGATATATTCGAGCAACAGAAAATTTACCACGTCTCGCTCACATTGTTCTTTTAGTATGTGCCAAGTTTGGACTTAAAGTTCTACTGCCCTTGACCATAGGAGCACTTTGATGGCAAGACTGAACATAGGCGACACTAACGCCATCTACTGGGAAGTCTGACACTAGGGATACTTCCAGGGAGAATCCCTAAGGATAATCTATCCCTAGGGATAATCTCTAGGGATAATCCCCCTGGGGATTATCCTAGATTATCCCTAGGGATTCTCCCTGGAAGCATCCCGTAAGGACGTTAAAGGATAGCAAGGATATCCTACGGACCAACACGGACAATGCCTACTTCTCCCTTGCTCCATCAGGTTATCTTTTATGATTCTCCATCGAAATCCCGCCCTTAAGGATTTTCATAAATCCTTAAAGATTTGTCCGCAGGGACAAAAAAAAAGGTCCTCGAGTTTCCATTAGGACAACTTTCTTAGTTCTCCTCTGGGGAGTCTTCTCAATATCCTTTAGGAGTTTAAAACATTTATCCCCTAGGATTTCTCCATATGGAATAAAATGGATCGTCGATAGAATTATCCCTAGGTCGAATTTGAAGACTCCCTAATGAAAAGGACTCCCAACTGACTTTTCCTCAGGATTCCTTTTGGTATTAATCCTAAAAGACCGTAATGGACTGAGCAAGGATCGGTAATTTCTCGATTCCTAGGGACATCCCCAGGGACGAATGTCAGAGTAGATGTGAAATGGGCGTAGGATTCATTGTACAGTGGTCGGGGCGCTACCTTTTTGATTTCAAACTAGCAAACATCGAAAAACACACTCGGGGATTTTCTAAGGACAGCTAGGATTCCGTAAGGACCGTTTCGGACTATCCCCATTTCTCCCCTGCTCCATCAGGCATCGATTCCTCGTTCGGAGAGCAATCCATTGGTGGGGTCACACGTTCGGTTCGAGTCCCATTTAGTGACTCTGGAGCTCAAAACGCGTCCGGGGTTTTGGCCGCCTCCACCGGCTTCTGGCCCACTGTGGGCCGCCTTCGTCGCTCTGTCTCTCTCGCACCTATACGGGACGCCCCACGAGTGCGAGAGAGACAGAGCGACGAAGGCGGTCCTCGGAATCAGTCGACTGGGCTTTGTCGCGCTGTCTCTCTCGCACTAACCTAACCAGGACGGCCCGTGAGAGAGACAGCGCGACGAGAGCACCGGTCGGGGCGGGGACTTCCCTCTCGCCGCGTGGAGTCTGGAGGCGCTTGCGCGTGCTTGCGGTGTTGCAGCTGCCCGCCGGGGTACGTCCTGCTCCCGCTGGAGGCCAAGCACGACGTGGCGGCGCTGGAGACGTGGGCGGGCCGCGTCTGGCTCGGCGCCCTGGACCTCATCAGGAGCGTCATCGTCCGGAACCCAGGGCTGTCGTGGGGCGCGTTCCCCGAGGACAAGACTGAAGGTACTTGTGTGGTTAACGACTCGATTTCTTTTTGGTGCCGTGCGAGCTGTTTTTCTTGATTTCAAATCGCCTGCGGCTGTCCAGGATACCCCGCAGCGCACATCCTGGGCGAAGGGGGGTTCCTCCGCATCCTGTACACGTCCGACGACCACCGTCGCAAGGGGCTGGGCGGGCTGGTGACGCGCGCCGCCTGCAGGGCCCTGGCGGAGCGCGGCAAGGACCTCCACGCCAACATCGTGTTTCCCAACCCCGCCTCCGAGGCCACCTTCAGGAAGCTCGGCTTCAAGCGGATCTGCGAGTGCACCTTCGTCGTCTACAACCCCTCGCGGCCCGACCACCCACCGGCAGACGCGCCCGTTGTAAAGTTTTAGAGAGTTTGCGAAATGCCCCACTTGACTGACCTCATTAATTTCAGATTAGAGTAAAAACTATTAGTTTTCTCGTTTTTAAATATTTAAAAAATGTCATTGGAAATCTGGTGGTTACAACACCGCCCGACCCAAACCCCTCTCTGGTCCGTCCATGCCAACCTGTCGAAAAAAAGAGAAAATTTATTTTTAAAAATGCATTCTACCTACCAAAAACTTTCGTGATTTATTGTCCATGAGGCTATATGTCCGAGCATGAATCACGTAACGGACTTGCTTCCGTCGCAATGACGAGGCCAGCCAGATTTGGCAGGGAAAACAACACGTGGCTATCTCCTCGTTTCGCGTGCACAGCACGCATATCAGACATGAGCCAGAAGTCAGAAACTAGACTTGCGCGCGCGGCACTGCTCTATCAGTGCTTGAGGGGCCTTATCCAACCATCGCCAGTCCGTGATCAGGCTTTCTGGCCGCTCGCAACCCGTTCCCTCACTATCTTATCTGAGGCGAGGCTGCCAGATCTGGGCCTCGAGTGGTCGGTCTATTCTTGAAGCATCGCGTCACGGTGCACTGGTGCACTCTTCCCCGGGCGAATCCGCGACAGCGCGCGGGGTTTAACGGATCACCGGTCTATCCTCGAGTATCCGGTCGGAACCGCTTCGAGTCCGACAGCTTAACTAGCTTAACCGCCTGACGCCTGCGATGAGGAGGCTAGGCAACCCGTCGCACTTCTCCGTCTCGCTAGGAAGCGGATGCCTACCCTCCAGGCGCGAGACCACTTCTGCCAACTCTACGCGAACGCACTGCCAACCGACGCACTTCCTAGATAGAGAAATTAAACAGAGGCTCGCTAATCCGAAATGTGTGGTGCGGGACTAGGCTTGTTGCTAGATTTGACTCCGTGCCAGCGTTCGCGTTCGCACAGTACAAACTCAATTTGAGAGGGGAGGGGGAGGGGAGGGGGAGGGGAGGGGCGGAAGGCGTTCGAACCATCAAACAACAAACACGCAATGGCGGGCACTGATCAAAAAATCCACGATGCGAATGAAACGGAGCCTCCTGTCAAGAAACACAAAGTAGGCGGTGACGCCGAGCCGCAGGCGAACGGCGACGACCTGACGGATTTGTCCGCTTTTCGCGCGGACCGCATCCTGAGTTGTGACAGCCGGAACAAAACAATCGTCGCTGTCGGGTCGTTTGGAGCCGCCGACCCCGGCCAGCGTGCTCTCGTCATCTTGGAGAAGAAGCCCTTCGACGCGGACGGCTTCGACAAGTTGTGCACTGTGGAAAGTTCCCTCAAGAAGGTTTTCCGCAACGATGTCTATGGCAACTATGACTGCTTCATCGAACGCGAGCTGAACGGTGAGACACCCGGCTTGAGGAAGTGAGGTTAAGGGCCCCATTTTCCGCGCTCCTCTATCTGTTCTTAAACTAATTCTGCTATTTTATTTGTTTCTGATTGCATTCATGACAGCTGTGAAGGCTACGGTCATTCACCCGGCATCTGACAAGCATATTCAAAAGTACGAAACTCAGTTGATTCACATAGTCGAAGAAACACCTGAAGTGTACAAATCTGTAACGCTTCCTTATTTGGAGAACGAACAGCTCAACCTGCAGGTGTGTATGGATTGGATAATTTGAGCTCAGGACCATGACCTGTTGACTTAATTAGGCTCATTGCTTTCTTTCAGTGGGTTTACAACATTTTGGAACACAAATCTGAGGTTGAACGAATTGTCTTTGAAGATGAGGATCCCTCTGTTGGATTCGTTCTCCTACCAGACCTCAAGTGGGACGGAAAAGATTTAAAAAGTCTCTATCTTTTGGCGATTGTACGTCAAACGGGCATCAAGTCGCTTAGAGATCTCACCGCAGACCATTTGCCTCTTCTTCAGAATATTTTGACAAAGTGCACTGTATGTACAGTATGCCTATTCATCTTAGTCTTTTTTTAACCTTTACAAGATAAGTTATGACACCTAAAAATCAATTATATTTTTTCAGAACATCATAAATGAGCGTTATGGCTTGCCTACATCCAGGATTCGAGCTTTCTTTCACTACCAACCAACATTTTATCATCTCCACATCCATTTCACCTATTTGCAATATGATGCTCCAGGTTTGTTGCACAATATCTTATCTTATCCTATGTTTTACTCTTGTGTAGATACAGTTCACAATTTTAATTATTTTGACTATTTTTGTCTAAGGAATCCACACGGAGCGGGCTCACTTGCTGACCTCAGTAATCAACAATATTCAGTTGGTTCCAAATTATTATCAAACCATTACGTTACCTTTCACTGTCAGGCAGTCTGACAAGCTTTTCACAGTTTTGAACAAGAAAGGTGATAAAATGTTACAATTTATTATTAAAGGGATCATTTTATTCAAATTTTTGTTAGTTTGTTACTACAGTGGTGTTTTATTTTTTTCCAGGTATTCTTGCTTAAATGGATTTGAATGCCTGTGTCCTGATAGAAGTCCGGCCTCTTGTCCAATCTTGCTGTGTATTTCTATCAGTACCATTTCCTCAAGCATGTGTCAGGCTAGTGGTGCATCCCGATGAGTTAACTGTTACTTGGCTGCTCGGTTCTCAAAAATTACAGAGCCACACAATATCTCTTCCGCAAAATGTTCCTATCAAGTTTGAACCTTGTCAATTGTCTTCGCTTCTCCAGGAAGAGAAGCATGTGTCATTTCGAGTTCAAACATCTCCCAGGGACCTAACAGGATCATTTTCTGTGCAACTATTGGAGTGTGAGAAGGGTGTGTCTCAGTTTGTTGAAAGTGCACCAAACATTCCTTCGTCTGAACCCTGCTCCATTCAATGTTTGTGTTGTGGTCAAAGCATTGTGTCAGAAGAAACCATTACTTTTGAGAGGGTCCTTCCCCTTCCCTCTTGCTCTTACGACGCAAGTGACTTTTTCTGCCACAGCCATGGAGACTCGAGTATTAATATAAACCCTAGAAAATTAGATTGTTTTTACTCGACAAGTGGTTTTCATATCCATCCATCTCATGTTGAATGCAAAGAAGACACTATCCGTTGCAGATGCTGCCTAGCGTGGATAGGTTCAAAGAGTGATGCGAGAGTCTGTCTATGGCATTCAACTGTGAATGTGACACCTGTCTCTGTCACTAGATCTCAAGTTACCAAGATAAACCCAGCTCTGGAGTTTATTTTTATTGTTGATAAAACTATTAGACAATGTCCTAGTGTATTATGTCGTTTAATGCTTTATGTAAAAGTTAGCAGTGTTGTCTCTCACTATCTTCTGATTCATGTTATGGACCGTCAGTTGACCCTTCTTACTGTTTTGAACAATAAATCTGCAGAGGTTGCATCACACAAAGCAATCAAAGTTTCATTTCACTTAGAAAAAGAATCGAATATGTTAGTTTCTTCTTGGCAAAATGATTCACTTGTGAGCTGCATTGAGGTTTCCCTTCCTGTGTTTGTACAAGGGCTGAAACTTCTTTCAAAAACTTCACAATATATTCCTTCTTCTTACAGGAAAGCTCAGGATGAGTTTTTATTTGCATATTTGAGCCCTGATTTTATTGATTGACTACCAATGTTTCTGGACAACTAATTTGTGAACTCCAGGATGAAGCCTAGCATTATTAAAGAATGATCCCTCATGTTCTTTGGAAGTTCCCTCTTTTATTTCCCCCACCAACGCAACCCGCACGTTGAAATGACGCGCCACTCAATCCTACCAACCCCAAATGGCCTTGTGTCGTTGAGTTGGCAATGCTGATTGGGGTGAATAGTCAAAATTATTTGCACGTGTCGGCGTGCGTGTAAACAGACTTCAAAAACACTGACAACACGTCAATAATTTTGGTTTCCGTATTTCTAGAGTCTTAAGGAAGCGCCATTATGACTTTCCTTAAAACATGGGAAGAATTTGAACGGGCGGCGGAACGTCTTTATTTGCAAGACCCTATGAAGGTATATTGAAAACATATGTACATTCTCGTGGACGCCTTAACCCTCAAATTGATTTAGTTATTTTTCGCGATTGCTCTCTAAGTTTTAATTAATCGAGGTTCCTAGAGCAACGAAAATTCATAAGTTAACAAATCTCGTATAGCAACTTGTGAATGTTATTTATAAGCCCTCTACTTGGCTCAGTTTCTAATGACGTATGTCACGACTACCTTTCATTTTATTAACATTAGCTTGTCAAAACGTTACATTTTGTATCTTTTCAAAAAATATATTCTGAAAATTCACTTTTCTTTTACAGAGTCGATTTACCATGAAGTATATTCATAGCAAGCAGGTCTTATGTTTAAAAATGACAGATAACAAAGTGGTATGTATTTTTATCACGTTTTTGTTAATTATTATTGTACTTTGTAGTCTCACATTGGTTTAATCGTTTTCATGTGTTTTCCGTATTTTCAGTGTTTGCAGTTTAAAACTGACCTATTACAAGACGCTAAAAAAGTAGAAAAGTTTACAAACAACCTTATGAGACATATGGCTTCATAAAACACGACTTTCTTTATTATATTATCACATCTTTGATGAATTGTGAAGCGTTCTGTTGCGTGGGGTATCTCATAAACACAAATTGAGAATGGAAACAAGGAAAAATTGCCTTTGTGTGTTTTGTAAATTTTCTATGTACTCCAGCGTTGAGACTGGTTGAATTTTGTATTTGAATGTTTGTTCCCAATATATTTCTGTATCATATCCATTAAAAGCTCTCATTGTTTATTTTCAACTGTGTGCCTCCTCTTTTAATCCAACCTTCCCAGCTCCTCTACTGCCAATCATACCCCCCAAAGTGCCAGGCCACAGATGCAGTGCAATGCAGCCCCCCAAGGTCTCCAAGGGGGCGTTGCGGCCTCGCAGCCACAGTTTGACCCGGAGGCCTCCGCCTGCGGTTGGCCTGGTCACTCTCACGCAAAGGGGAAGGCAGCGGCGTGGGGAAGTAGTAGTATCCCTCACCCCCTCAATAAAACCCAAGGACGGATCCAGAGACGGGTTCAGGGGGGGGGGCGATATCGCAAAAGTTGCCTACCTACAGGGGCTAAGTGAGACTTGTTGCCTACCTTTTGCCGCCTTCAGAAAGGGGGGGGGAGGGGCGACGCCCCATGCCCCCTCCTGGATCCGCATCTGCTAAAACCGCGTTTGATCACGGACATATGCGCGGGGGATAGCTAGTAACACATTACGCTACGCATCCCCCCACGGAAAACGGCTTTGAAGTCGGTCGGCAATGCCCTGGGACAGCTACCACGCAGGCACGCACCACGCCCACCACCTACCATTCAGGACTCTAGACTCTAGCTCCGATTGACTAAGCGACAGCCAATGAGCTGCAGCGGTGCCGTGCCCCGTCCACTCCGGCATGAACACTACTCATGGACTTTCCACCACAACAATTGAAAAGAATGGGTGAATTTTGAGTAATATGACAAGCGAAAAAGGGTGGGGGGGGGCACTTTTATGTCAGGCATACATAAAGATAACAGGATTTTAAAATTTGACTCAGGATTCCTAGTCAAATGTAAAATTGTTTCAAAAACGTTAAAAATGATGACATTTTATCAAGGATTACGGCATGCGGATTTAACGAAGATTACTGGTTGATTAGTACACAGGACTACCAGGGCGATGACCCCAAAGCCTAGCCAGCCAGTCTTAATGATTTGATTTTTTTGTTTTGGAGGGAGAGGGGAGTAGTGCCTTGCAATTTTGAATGGTCTGGGGGCGAAAAATGTTAACAAGAGTACTCTAGGAAGTGCAGCCAAAGCTGATCACTTCCCATTGCAACTCAATGCAAGTTCGTATGCTCAAGGCCTTCCCGCCCAGGCCCGTTAGTGTCTGTAAGGTTACTGCCCGCAAGAGAGAGAGAGAAAGAGAGGGGGCGGGGAGGGGGTGTGAAGGGGAGGCGCGGCGTGCTTGCTCGGATTACAATGTGTAATTAGTGAAGCGATGTTGTTGTGGGCTATAAGGAGGTGTGGATAGGGCGTAACCCCCAGTTCCGCGTTCCCACCCCGCACCACTCGCTGCTCGTCCCGTGGCGTACCCGTGCCCGTCCCGTGCCCGAGCTCGCGCCGCACCAGCCACGGCACCTGCCACCGCACCTGCCACCGCGCGACCACACAATCAAGACGTTCTCGACCACCAGGGCCGTCTGGGGGCATGCGCTGACTGCGGACGCCAAACATCCTTCCAAAACCGCCAAAGGGCCGCTAGCTTGCACCAACCGCCGCACCAACGCCAACATGGCCAACATGGAGCACGACGACGTGGTGGTCTCGGGCGTGGGGGGCCACTTCCCCGAGTGCGACGACCTGGATACGTTCAAGGAGGCCCTGATGACGGGGAGGGACGTGGTGACGGACAACGCGGAGCGCTGGAAGCCCGGCCGCCTGGGGATGATCAACAAGACGGGCAAGGTGTCCGGCATCAACAAGTTCGACGCCGTGTTCTTCGGCATGCACCGCAAGCTGACGGACGCCACCGACCCGCTGTCCAGGATCATCATGGAGCGCGTGTTCGAGGCCATCGTCGACGCCGGCTTCAACCCGCTGGAGCTCCGCGGCACCCGCACGGCCGTGTTCATCGGCTCGGCGCTCAGCGAGTCCGAGAACATCTTCATCCAGACCACGGCCGAGGACGGCTTCGGCATCATGGGGCACAACCGCTCCATGATGGCCAACAGGGTCTCGTACTACTTCGACTTTAAGGGTGAGTCCCAGCGGACAGCGGCTCGGCCTTGGCGGCGTGGCACAGTGGGCCAGAAGACCGGTGGAGGCTGCCAAAATTCCAGACGCGTTTCGAGCTCCAGAGCCGCTAAATGGGGCTCGACACGAACGTGTGACCCCACCAATGGATTGCTCTCCGTACGAGGAATCCATTGGTGGGGTCACACGTTCGGTTCGAGTCCCAGTTAGCGACTCTGGAGCTCAAAACGCGTCTAGAGTTTTGGCCGCCCCCATCGGTCTTCTGGCCCACTGTGCGTGGCGTGGCGCGTGGCATGACTGGGCTCGCTGGCTTGCAGGTCCCAGCTACGCGCTGGACACGAGCTTCTGCAGCGGGCTGAGCGCGCTGGAGATAGCCAAGAGGGCCATCGACTGCGGCGAGATCGACTTCGCCATCGTGGGCACCGCCACCCTGTCCTTCCACGCCGAGATCACGCAGCACTTCCACGACCTCGGCATGACCAGCCCGGACGGCGTCACCAGACCCTTCAGCAAAGACGGTCCGTTCCCATTTTTAATTTTTATCCGAGTTTTCGAATTGGGACGTTGCTTTCTAACGGGGGCTGTTTGTTGGTGTGCAGCCAACGGCTACGTGCGCTCCGAGGCCGCCATCTGCATGCTGGTGCAGCGGCGCAGCAGCGCGCGCCGCTTCTACGCCTCGGTGGAGCACGTCAAGGTCAAGAAGTTCGGCTTCCAGCACAACGCGCCGCTGCTCAAGCTGGACGTCCGCCACCACGCGCAGCACCTGGCCGAGTTCTACGACGAGCTGCAGGAGCTGACGGGCATCCGGGCCGACGACATCGACTACCTCGAGGCCGAGGGCGACGCGTTCAAGGTAACGCCCCGAGTGCGACCTGAGACTGGGCGAAGGGAGACTGGGAGACTGTGACGTCACTCTGGCCGTCCCCCGCAGCCGCACGAGGAGCAAGAGGTGGCGGCCCTGGACGCGGCGGTGTGCTCGCGGCGGTCGCAGCCGCTGCGCATCGGCAGCACCAAGGGGCAGTTCGGCAACGCCGAGGCGTCGTCGGGGCTGGTGGCGCTCTGCAAGGTGCTGGTGGCCATGGAGGGCGGCATCATCCCCGCCACGGTGAACGTCACCCCGGCCACCGTCAACCCCGCCCTGCGCGCCATCGTGGAGGGCCGCATGCAGGTGGTGACGGAGAACACGGCGCTCTGCGCGCCGGGGAAGCGCGCCACCGTCGCCATCAACAACTTCGGCGTGGCCAACCAGTACGCGCACGCCGTGTTCCGCGCCAACCCCAAGGCCAAGCCCGTGGTCGTCGACGCGCAGCCCGAGAGGCTGGCCGTCGGCACGCAGGGCGAGGCGGTCATCCTCGAGCCCATACCCAAGATGGTGTTCGTCTCCGCGCGCAACGACGACGCCATGACCAAGGCCCTGGAGAAGGTAGGCTCAAAGAACACTAAAACGCACAGTGGGTCAGAAGACCGGTGGAGGCGGCCAAAACTCTAGACTCGTTTTGAGCTCCAGAGACGCTAAATGGGACTCGAACCAAAAAGGTGACCCCACCAATGGGTTCCTCGTTCGAAGAGCAATCCATTGGTGGGGTCACACGTTCGGTTCGAGTCCCATGGAGCTCAAAACGCGTCTAGAGTTTTGGCCGCCTCCACCGGTCTTCTGGCCCACTGTGAAACGCCGCCGCGGCCGGTACTTGAACCCACGGTTGACACCGCGGTGGCCTGTTGCAGCTGCACAGCTACAAGACCTACGACCCCGAGTACGCGCGCCTGGTGCATGACGTCTTCACCATCCACACCTTCGGGCACCTGCAGCGCGCCTACACCTTCCTGCCCAAGACGGAGGCCCTCCCTCACGAAGTCGCGGTAGGTTTTCGTTCACAGACTTCCGCAACGTTTCCCACCCATTCTCCACGGAAAGAATTCGATTTTTAAGTCAGTTTCCCGTTCGCAAAACGCCTGCAACGCCGGCCTAGAACAGCGCCTGTAGTCGCCGCGCCGCCCGCAGCGCGCCAGCGCGCCGGAGCGCCCGCGGACGGCGGGGTAGGCCGGCCCGCAACGCACGCCGGTGCAACGGCGCTGCCTACCGGCAACGGCGCTCTCTCTGCCGGAGTCATTCCTGCACGACTAAAACATACCAAGTGTTTTGAGCATGTGTATATGTAGGCTCAAAATGCTTTGTTATCACACGATACTTCTCGTTCTAAGGCCGAAAAAAAAATTGAGTGTGTGCGTGTCCGCAGCCCCACGGCGGCGCCAAGCGGCCCATCTGGTTCATCTACTCGGGCATGGGCAGCCAGTGGCCGGGCATGGCCAGGCACTTGTTGAGGGTGCCGGTGTTCCGCGCCGCCGTGCAGCGCTGCCACGACGCGCTCAAGCCGCACGGCGTGGACCTGCTGCACATCATCACCACCGAGGACAAGACCATCTACGACAACATCCTGCACTCGTTCGTGGGCATCGCCGCCGTGCAGGTGGGCCTGACGGACGTGCTCAAGTCCCTGGGCATCGAGCCGGACGGCATCATCGGCCACTCGGTGGGGGAGCTGGGGTGCGGCTACGCCGACGGCTGCTTCACGGCGGAGCAGATGGTGCTGGCGGCGCACGCGCGCGGCAGGGCCTCCATCGAGACGGAGCTCATCAGGGGCACCATGGCGGCGGTGGGGCTCGGCTACAGCGAGGTGAGTGTGCCGCGTCGCGCCACTGTGCCCTCTCTCTCTCTCTCTCTCTCTCTCTCTCTCTCTCTCTCTCTCTCTCTCTCTCTCTCTCTCTCTCCTCTCCCCCCCCTCGCGGTGGCCGTCAAGGATTTTTGCCGCCGCAGGTGAAGCCCATGCTGCCCGAGACCATCGAGGTGGCCTGCCGCAACTCCAAGACCAGCTGCACCATCTCCGGCCCCGCCGAGGACATGGCGCGCTTCGTGGGGCAGCTCAAGGACAAGGGCGTGTTCGCGCGCGCCGTCAACGTGTCCAACATCGCGTACCACAGCCGCTACATCGCGCCGGCCGGGCCCAAGCTGCTCACGCTGCTCAAGGACGTCCTGCCCGACCCCAAGCCGCGGTCCGCACGCTGGGTAAGGCACGAACCCAACCCCCGCACAGTGGGCCAGAAGACCGGTGGAGCGGCCAAAACTCTAGACGCGTTTTGAGCTCCAGAGTCGCTAAATGGGACTCGAATCGAACGTGTGACCCCACCAATGGATTCCTCGTTCGGAGAGCAATCCATTGGTGGGGTCACACGTTCGGTTCGAGGCCCATTTAGAGACTCTAGAGCTCAAAACGCGTCTAGAGTTTTGGCCGCTCCACCGGTCTTCTGGCCCACTGTGCCCCGCCCCCGAAACAAACACTGGGCGCGTTTTAAATACACTCTCGGCGCGCAGATATCGACCAGCGTTCTGGAGGAGCGCTGGGAGGAGCCCCTGGCGAAGACCTCTTCCGCCGAGTACCACACCAACAACCTGCTGAGCCCCGTGTTCTTCGAGGAGGGCTCCAAAAGGATCCCCAAAGACGCCATCTGCATCGAGATCGCGCCCCACGGCCTGCTGCAGGCCATCGTGCGCCGCTCCCTGGACTCCGGCGTCACCAACGTGCCGCTCACGCGGCGCGACGCCCCCGACGGCGCCCTGTTCCTGCTCGAGGCCATCGGAAAGTGAGTGCCCAGTCCGTCGGCCGCCCCTCCGGGCCTCCGGCACTGCACTGGCGGTAATGCTGACGGTTTTGCACCAGGTTGTACCTGGCCGGGCTGAACCCGATGATCCAGAACCTGTACGAGCACGTCGAGTGCCCCGTGGCGCGCGGCACCGGGACGCTGAGCGGCCTGGTGCACTGGGACCACACCGAGTCGTGGTACACGGGCCGGCACTGCCAGCAGGTGAGTGGTCCAGTCTGTCCTGCCGAGCGATGCCCAAGAGCTGTGACGCGCTGACGCGCCTCGTCTTCCAGGACACCTTCGTCCCGGGTGAGCGCCACTTCGACGTGCGCTCCATCTACCCGGCCTTCGAGCCGTACCGCCACTGCGAGTGGCAGGGCCGCTCCATCATCACCCCCGGCATCTGCTTGGTGAGCGCACGGTCCCGGGTGGACGCCCCCCTTCCCCGAGTGACTTTCCTCACGATTATTTCATCACGCAGGACAAGGTGCGCGAGATGATCTACGCGATCCACGACGACGAGCCCGTGCCCATCGTGTTCGAGAACGTGCAGTTCCATCACTGCGTGGACCTGCCGGTGATCGGTCAGTGCCTGGGTTCCATTCTCCGTGCAGGCTCCGTTTCGTTGCCGTCCCTAACCGCGCGTTCTCGCCGCTTGCATTGCAGATGAGTCCCTGGTGTACGTGATGTACCAGCGCGGCAGCGGCCACTTCGAGGTCTCGGAGAACATGCGCGTGCTGGCGTGCGGACGCGCCTACCTCCCCATGGACGGCGTCAAGGGCCTCGCCAAGATGTGGAACTCGGAGGCGCCGACCGGCATCTCGGAGGTCCGCGGCGAGCAGCGCGCCTCCTACAACCAGGAGGAGGTGTACGACGAGCTGGAGCGGCGCGGCGTGCGCATCGGCGGCAAGCTCAAGGCCATCAGGCAGGTCGTCATCTCCCCCTCAGGTGAGACGGGCGGGACGGCCGGACCCCTGCAAAGCCAGTCCACCACTCCTGGCTGAGTGTCTCCTTCGCGTTGCAGAGGTGCAGGGCCGCGTGACCAACCTGGACAGCCCGCTGTTCCTGCTGGACACGCTGCTGCAGCTGTTCTCCGTGCTGGAGTCCGAGACCACGTCCGAGCTGCGCGTGCCCTGCCGCATCCAGCGCATCCTGCTGGACCCTGACCGGCGCCTGCTGTGCGAGCCCGCGCCCGCGCCCTTCGAGGTCGTCGACGCGGACGGCCAGGCGCAGGAGGCCGCCGTCGTCCAGAACACGCCCCTCTTGGAGGAGCTGGCGTTCCGGCTGCACCGCGCCAGCGAGGTGCTGCGGTGCGCCAACGTGGAGCTGCGCGGCGTCGTCACCAAGCCCTTCTCCCCCAGCGGCGACAAGACCGCCAACAAGCTGGCCCTCGACATGGAGCAGTTCCTCGTGCACGGCGACAGCCCCGCGACGTTCCAGGTGCGTGGCGCTGAGCTACGAGCACTTGGTGTCCTTACAGCGTGCTGACCGCCGACCTCTCCCCCACAGCGCGCCGACGAACTGGTGTCCGCGGCCATCCAGCTGGCCGGGCAGCAGATGGCGCTGCAGCCGCTGTGCCGCCAGGGCAGCGAGGTGCTGGTGGGCGTGATGGGGGCCGTGCTGGAGGACAAGGCCTTCTTCGGCCTGCTGCAGGCCGTGGCCCGGCGCATGGGCAACGTCCTTGTGCGCGCCGTGAGCCGCGAGGAGGTGCCCGACTGCGACCTGGTGGTGGTGAGCACCGCGGACGTCCCGCAGGCCGTGTCGCTGCTCGCGCCGCAAGCCGTGCTCCTGGCGCACCTGCCCCTGCACCCGACCCGACCCTCCGCCAGCGGCGTGCAGGTGCTGATGCAGCAGGCCTTCGACAACCACCGCTTGGCCGTCTTCAAGAAGGTGGGTATGCCGGAGAATTCTATTGAACTTCCGTGATTTGGAAAGGGATGTTCCCTGAAATGAATTGTGTGCTTTGCAGGCGCAGCTGCTGCCCCAGTCGGCCACCCTCCCCTGCCAGGTGGTGGAGGTGGACTCCGGCAGCGCCATCTCCGGGCTGGCCGTGGCCCCCGTCGGGGAGTCGTTCTTCGTGTGGCGCGCGCTCCCGGAGAAAGGCATCCCCGCCCTGCTCAACGAGGTCCGCAAGCTGCCCGGCTCGCACCGCGTCAGGTACGCCACCACACCAACGCAAAAGGCGCGCCCACTGGGTCGGTGTTTGAACCCACGACTGTGTGCAGATGCGTGTTCCTGCTGGACGCCACGGCGCCCAAGTTCTCGGCCACGCATCCGTTCTACGCCGCGCAGATGCGGCTGGGGCTCGCCGTCAACGTCCTGCAGCACGGCGCCTGGGGCAACCTGTACCTGCGGCCGCAGAGGGTGGCCGACCTGGCGCAGCCCAACAAGACCCTGCACGTGAACCGGTACGATCACGGGGGGACTTCCCTTGGCGCATTTACCGTGGGGCAAGGCCACAGGAAAAATAATCGTCCTTAACAATTCCTCAACCAGGTTGGCCAACGTGCCGGGTCTGCACTTCGAGTTCCTGGGCTTGAACGGCTCGCTACAGGAGCCTAGCAATCTGGAGGTGCGCGACGGCTACATCCTGGACATCAAGTGGCCCGCGCCCCTGAAGCAGCCCCGCGGCATCGGCCTGCTGGACTACGCGGCCGTGCGCCGCGACGACGCCGCCCCCGTGATGGGCCTCATGGACGCGGCCGGCCTCAACGTGGACCCCGTGCTGCAGTGGGACGTCCCCGCGGCCTGGAGCTTGGAGGACGCCGCCACCGTGCCCTACGCTTACGCCATGGTGAGCAACTTAGTCTCTCGAGGTACTAGTTGTTGAGATTCAATGAAAGTTGTCGTAAGTTGTAAACACTGCCCTCCCTCGACCTAGGCGTACTTCGCCCTGGTCCACACGGCCGGCGTCCAGGCCGGCGAGAGTGTGCTGATCCACGACGGCTGGTCCGCGGTGGGCCAGGCCGCCCTCGACGTGGCCCTGGCGGCGTGCTGCCCCCTGTTCACCACCTGCCGCTCCGAGGAGGAGCGCCTCCTCATCCAGCAGCGCTTCCCGCAGGTACCAGTGCAGCGAGCGACCTCTGGAAGACTTGAAGCAAGACCTCACACTGACAGTCCCACGCCATGCTCTGCAGATCCCAGCGGACCGCATCCTGGACCTGCAGGGCGAGCAGTTCGAGCGCGACTTGGCCAAAATGTTGGTGGGTGACCGACAGCGGAAGGGTGTCCGCGTGGTCCTCAGCAACCTGAGCGGCGAGGGGCTGTGCGCCACGCTCCGCTCCCTGGGCATGTACGGCCGCGTCGTGCAGCTCAACGGTTCGGACCAGGCGCAGGGCGTGCACATCGGTACGTCCCCGCCGCCACCCAGGCCAACGTCCTCCCGGTGCCTCCCGGACAACCCGACGCTGACGCTGCGTTTCGTTTGCAGGCATGAACTTGTTCATCAAGAGCACCTCTTTCTACGGGCTGCACCCCAACTGCCTTATGAACCAGAAGCAGGACGTGCGCGCGGCCGTGCACGCCATGGTGCAGCGGGGCCTCGACGACGGCGTGGTCCGCCCCCTGGACCGCACCGTGCTGCCCGCCTCGCACGCCCAGAAGGCCGTCAGGTAGGTCCGCCCCAGTCCGCCCCGCCGCGACCAGCTAGTTGACCGACGGGGACGTAACTCGGGTGTGTGCCTGCAGCTACCTCAACGGTGACTCGACGGGCAAGGTGATCCTGGAGCTCAAGACCGCGAAGACACCCACCGCCGCGGACGCCGTCGGACAGCGCTTCCATTGCGACGAGAAGGCCTCCTACCTGGTGGTCGGTCAGTACCCGACGGAGGCTCAAAATAAAAAAGATGCTTTCCGCCCCGTGAACCACAGACCGCAGTCCAGGCGACCTCGGCGTCAACGGGTCATCGCTTTGTTCCAGGCGGCTGCCGGTCGCACGCGCTGCACACCGTGGAGTGGCTGCTGTCGCGCGGCGCCCGCAGCGTGCTGCTGGGCGGCATGCCAGACAACGCCCTCTCGCAGGTCAGTGACCACGGCAACGCGGCGCAACGCGGCGCCACGCCACCGCGGCACCACCACGTCAATGACCGCCATCTGACTTTTTAATTGTTTCCGAGCGGGCCGCGCGTTGTGGACGTAGTGCCTAATCCGCTGCCCTTCGGCCTTCGGGCCCTCGGCCTTCGCCTCCAGGTCACGCTCCGCCGGCTGGCGCTGATGCGCGCGCGCTGGGGCGCGCACGTGACCACGGTGCCGGGCGTGCGCGCCGACACGGCCCAGGGCGCCGCCACGCTGGTGTCCAGGGCCAACAACATGGCGCCGCTCGCCGCCGCCTTCGTGCTGCCCTCGGCGTCCGTGCGCCAGGTGGACTCGGTGCAGGCCCTCGACGGCGTGCTCCGCGGCCCCGGCCTGTGCCGCGAGGCCGTCCTGCTCGTGGCCGTGGAGCTGTCCGCGCCGTCGGGGCCCGTGGCCGCGGCGTGCGCCGCCCGTCGACGTGCCGGGGGCCGCGCCACCGCGGTCGGCATCAACGTGGCCGCGCCGCACCTCCGCGTGCTGGCCATGGACAGTGCCATGGCCGACCCGCAGCCCGTGGTGCACGCCAACCTGCTGCCCGAGGACCAGCACCAGGCCTGTGAGTGTTCCGTCTCTCTCGCACCCCCACGGGACGCCCCATGGGTGCGACAGAGACAGAGCGACGAATTCTTCGGAAGCAGTCTGCAGCCGCGCTGGTAGGCAGTCCGCTCGCGCCGGCGTGCGTTGCGGGCTTGCCCATCCCGCCGTCCGTGGGCGCTGGGCGCTTGGCTGGACGCTCCGTGGGTCTCCGCCTCCGCGCCAGCGCGGCTCCGCGGCTCGCCTCCGAGTCACCCCCCGCCGGCCGCCTACGCCTCCGGTCGTTGCCGCTTGCGCCGCTGTCGCTCGCTGCGTTACGGAACTCGGCGCTGCAGCGCTGCGCGGGCTGCGCGGCGGAGAGAGGCGGCCCGGTGAAAGTGCCGGTCGCGCGTCCGTAACACGCTTTCCCTTTTGGCCGCAGCCCTCAAGGAGCGCCTGAGAGAGCTGCTGCCGCTGTCCCGCGACGCGCTCGTGTCGCTGGGCAAGTCCGCGCTGGCCATGGCGGCGCTGGGCGGCGCGCCCTGCTCGTCCATGCTGCCGTCGTGCTTCGGCGGCGCCAAGGCCAAGTCCAAGGAGGTGCCGCCGGTCTTCCTGGTGGCGGGGCTGGGCGGCGAACCCGCCGAGGAGATGCGCCCCCTGGCCCGCGGCATCCTGGCCAACGCCGTGCTGCTCATCCCCGGCGTCGCCAAGCAGGGTCAGGATCCTCCTCTTTACCAGACTCATTCCCTCGACGTTTGATGCCGTGTCTGAGCTCACTCGCTTGCAGGCATCAGCACCCTGGCCGCGGGGCTGGTCGACGAGGTGCTGTCGCGGCAGCCGGTGGGGCCCTACACGCTGGTGGCGCGCGGCTGGTCGGGCTGCGTGGCCCTGGAGGCGGCCCGCCTGCTGGAGCAGACCCGCGGCGAGCACGTGGCCGTCCTGCTGCTGGACTGCGCCGTGGAGGAGCTCCAGAACGCCGTGTGGCGGCTGGGCCAGGGCGGCGCGCTGCAGGCCTGGCTGCTGTGCAGTCTGCTGCACCTGCGGCCGATGGTGAGTACGTCGGCGACCTCGAGGCCACGACGCCAGCCCGGTGGCTAACCCCCTTCCCTCCGCGCAGGACTACGACGCGCTGGAGGCCCTGCAGACGTGGCCCGAGCGGCTGCAGCACGCGCTCAGCCTGGGCGACGCCGAGGTCGCCAAGCACCGCCTCGAGCTGAGCGCCGGGCTGGACCTGGTGTACGCGCGGCTGTGCGCCCTGGCGGAGTACCGCGCCGACTTCAAGCTCCACAAGACCGTCATCACGCTCATCAGGCCGGCCGGCGCCGAGGCCGACAACTTCTGCGGCCTGGACCAGGTACTTGTCTGCAGTGCTTCGTCGCCCTGTCTCTCTCGCACCCCCACTAACGCCGCCCTCTGCCGCAGGTGAGCACGCAGGAGGTGCAGGTCGCCGTGCTGGACAGCACCCTGGGCTCGGCGCGCTTCTGGGAGGAGGCGGCGCGCGTCGTCAGCCAGGGCGTCTACGTCGGCACCAAGCCCATGCACTCGTTGCTCGTGGGCATCTGCAACGCCAGCGACACCCTGTGGCAGCGCCTCAGATAGACGCGGGGAGCTGCAGGCACTCCTGGGGTCGACGGCGGCGGCCCCGGCGGCCTGGCCGAGGCCATGAGCGTGCCCTCATGGTATGGGCGAGGCGGCGGCACGGCGGCGGCACGGCGGGGCGCTCTTCTGCGCGGACTCGTGAGAAAGGAGGCGCTCACGCCATGCTCGCGCCGTGTCGGACCTTTCCGCTTGAATATGCAGCAGCGTACGCACTCTTACCGTCTCCGACGGGCCGCCCGGCCGACGGGTATCCCAACAGCTACAGCCCCGCCAGCCCCGCCAGCCCGCCCATTTGAATTTGAGCCTCGCCGCTTCACCTAGATTTGGGGGGTCATTCATCTCATCGGCCGGGCCGACTCGACGGGCGACTTTCGAGACTGCGCTCGGGACCGCGCGAACCAAACTCACTTGTGGCAGTTGATTGCTTTTGGACCGAAGGGTCGGCTCATCCGCACTTCCCCGCCCGTTGGACTTTGCAGCCTGCAGGGCACACTGCAGTTTCCGTCGCTCGAGCGCAAGGTTCACAATAAAGTACAGTCTGATTCACAATTATTAGCCAGGCCGCGAGGAATTTCCCCAACTCCCTTCGCTTCAGAGCAAAGTGCGTAGTACATTTACGCGTACATACAGTCTTTCCGTATTTACTGTCTTGCCCGGTGATCGCACCTGCCGCAGTAACAGCGGTAATTTCATGTACGGTTTTCGTTTTGTTTTGCACTGTCTTGTTTAGAGGGATCCTTCTATGTACACGCTCCGGTCCAAAACAACTCACCGCATCCTTTCCGCCACAACAGCCTTGTGTCCTTTATTTTCTTTTCAACCACGGAAAATTGCCTGCAGAAGGGTTGAATTGTTTATGTTTGTAGTCCAATTACTCATAGTTTGTGAATGTAGAATGAATCAACTGATGAAGTGCGTGCAAATTTTTGTCTCTACAATAAAAACCTTGAAAATGAAACTTATCTTTTTTAAACCATGCCAGCTGCGTGGACCCTTCCCCTCCATCCATTAGAAACAAACAACTCGGGCCTATTTGGAAGGAGAAGCCTCTCACAGCAGCCAATAGGCTACCCAGCCGAATACTCTGTAAAACAAAATCCTTCTGGCATTCACGGCAGTCATGGGATTACACGTTATTTAATCTTAATGATCATTAAAGTTTAACTTCTGCATCCATTAGAAGGGCAATCACGAGTCAATTTAACAATAGTCTCATCATGGTGTGACTAACAGCAAGAACCAGGTGACCGACGTCCAAGTCAAAAATTTAAACTTGCCGCGTCGCGGCGCTCCCGGAACCTGTCGCTGGCATCCGGTCCCTCTCCCTCGCGTCGCTCCGGCGCCTTCGAAACCTGTTACGGATGACGGGAGCGAACCAACAGAAATGTGGCAGGCGGTGGTCGCCGCTCGGGGGTTTGGTCGCCAATGTATTGTTATGCCGTCTTAAACTTGAACTTTTTGGACCTAAAGAAACGAAACCTGCGAGTTTGGAACCGTGTAAACCGGCCGAGCCGTCAATGAAAACCTCACTGAGGCCGAAATCGAGTCTTCGACGGCTCCTGTTTTAATATGTGAAGCAGCTGTGTGTAGATAGTCGGCGCACATCGAGTCTGCTTTAACTTTCTCCTGGAGGTTTGTTGTGTAGGTAACCAATTCTCGTTGAGGGAGAGAGAGGAATACACGACGAAATATGTTGACGAGACGCGCGACGGGAGTGTGAAGGTATAAGCGATAATTCTTTTTTAGTGTGGCTCTGTCAGAGTCGTAGTTAGCGGCCTGCCCAGTCGGTAGTAGACGCTTCTCTTGGCAATAATTACCGTCTGCATGTATCGTTGGCGTTTTGGCGTTTTGTATTTGAATTTTACTTTTCGTTGCGTATCAAATTTGTGAGTAGCACTTCTTTAAAGCTGATTTTATCTGTCTACTCTTGAAGTAATCGAAAAAGTATCTAGAAGAGAGTCTGTTTTTGGGTGTTCTTGGTTATGATAATTATGCACCAAAGTTTTGAAATAAACTCATTTAGTTCCCTTTAGTTTAGTCCCTTTTTTTCTTTTTTCGGTCTGAAATATTGTGTCTTTGTTTCTCTCTGAATGTACCTCATTATACAAGCTTTCCTGCTTTCCCGAAATAAAATCAAATTTTCTTCCTTTTTTGTCTGCTAGAATGGAACCCTTTGAAGGGCAAGCAGAGGATGGAGGAATTATTGGGAAGCAAGAACTCATCGAAAATACATCAAATGGAGTCTTAAATGATAGTATTGACGATCCCATTCACAATGATGATACTCTTCCATTAGATCCCAATCAACTTGATGATGAGTCCGTTATCCCAGCTGATTTTCAGAATGGAGAATCATCAGGGGAAACGGGGGCTCCTGCTCTTGATGGAATTGGTAAATCCAGGATTCATTCTTTGTCATGTTAAATTTACTGAAACTTGAAAGGTATATAATAATTTGTAATTACAGATAACGATTTACCCGGAAGTCCGACAACTGGAGCTGAAGCTCCAGGATTAAATTTATGGTCTAATGTTAAATGTGTATTTTGTGACACATTATTAGCTACAAATGACCAACCCAGATTATTAGAATGTCTACACACCTGTTGCAGCTCATGTGTTAGTTCTAAACTAAATGAGCCCAATCAGGATACTGGAGATGTTGTTGGTAGGTCTCTCATGGCACTCAGCTCCCATCATTTTTTTTGTTTTTCCTATTGATTTTGACGCTACCTTGCTCTTAATGTTTCAGTGGAAGTCAACAGTTTGTCTTGCCCCTCCTGCTCAGTTGTTAGCACTGTCAGTAGTATTATTGACAATCAATTTTTGTTGGAATTGTGTATGGAACATGATTTAGGTTCCCTTCCTGACCTGAACAAATCTCTGTCAGACTTAAAATGTTCGAGTGACAGTGCTCCAGCTACAAGCTGGTGTGTGGATTGTGCAGAATTTATTTGTGATGACTGTGTTCAGGTACTTTCTTTTTCATTCTTGTTCATTTAATTTCTCACACTTTAAGACACCTCATCGATCATGTCTAATTTTGGTTTCCAGGCGCATCAAAGGCTTAAAATTACGAAAGAACATACAATTAAACCTAAAGAAGAGGGAGACTTGGAAAACCATACATCCTCCAACACAGTAACTTCAAAGAATTTCTTCTGCAATATTCACCCTCAGGTACTTGATGGAACTCATCTGTCATTCTTCATCTTCTTATTTTTGTTTTATCAGCAATACATCAAAACTGCTTATTTGTGATTTCAGGAACACTTAACTTTATTCTGTGAAACTTGTGATCGATTAACATGCAGAGATTGTCAGTTAACTGAACATCGAGATCATAAATACAAGTTCAGTCATGAGATTGCCTCTGAATCTAGAGGCATGATCAATAACCTGTTGTCAGAAGTAACGTAAGTGTTCAAATTAATTTGCGGATTATGATCATTTTTTTGTCTGTACATTAAAATTGTCATTGTGTCATCTTCAGCTACAAGAGAGTTCTCTTAAAAAGTGCAACTAAGGTAATAGAAGACAGACAGGTACTAATAGTGAAGAAAAAGAAAGAACTATTACAAGAAGTAACACAAATGGTTTATCGGTAAGGGTTGTAATTTGCTTGAAATCGTTTCCTGCCTCCCTTTTCTATAGCTATGAATACTATAAAAGAAAATATGTTTCAGTCTAACCAGCGCTATCAACCAAAGGGGAAAACAGTTAGTTGTTCGTTTAAATGAAGTTTGTGATGCAAAGCAGAAAACTTTATCAGAAAAGAAACAGGCTCTGGAACAGCTTTCCCTTGTCACTGACCACTGTATAGATTTTGTAACAAATGCTGTTAACAAAGGCAGTGACATGGCCCTGCTCTTTACTAAAAGGCAAATCACTCAACACCTTCAGAGAATCAAGAGCAAGAGAGCTGATATTCCTAATCCAGAAATCCCTGTTAGAATACACTTAGCAACTGACAAAGTTCCAGACTTGATAAGAGGTAATGACTTCTAGCACTTCATTTTTAAATTAATTTGTTCATTTCTAATTAAAATGCACACCTATATGTGACACTGTTTGGTTTTTAAAATGAATTGTGCCTGGTGTTATTTTGCAGTGCTCTCTTCCATTGGGAACATTGTTGTGGACGGTCGAGTGTACCCATCTCAACACAACAACACTAGTAATACTCAACAGCAGCAAGGATCTAACAGTACTGGGGGGTCCACCGCAACGGCGCCTGCTCCTGCTCCTCTTAGTCAACCCCACCATCAGGCACCCCCTATTCATTCGCAACCACCTGCCAATCAAGCTGCATATTCTTCTGTGCAGACGTATTTTCCCCCGGGCTCCTCCCTGGTAAGCCTTGCTCAAATGGTCACTGGCTGCTTTTCCGGACTGTCTACATGTAAAAATGTTTTGCTCACCAAATAATTGATTTCTACAGCGGCAGTCAACATCTATGGGACCTGCGGGGCCTCAGAGGGCCGCCACCCCGCCGCAACCGCAACACCTTCAGAACTTGCAGGCCTTACCAGCGCAGGTAGCAAGGAACTTGAACATGCTTCGACATTCTCCTCAGCATCCTCCAGGTCTTGGGCTCATGCGGACCCACCACCAACAGGTTTGTGTCATGAGTTGTTGAGATTGAGGTAAGCGCAAGTTGAGTGATGGCCTAACTTGCAAGTCCGACTCTCTTCTGTGTTTCAGGTGACCTCTTCTACCCACCCTATAGCGGACGGTCGCAATGTAACCCTGCAGGCCATGCTGAACCCCAGAGCGGCTCCTCAGCATGGTGGGCCAACTCCTCCACTGGCGCCAGGGCCTCCGCATCAGGCGCAAGGGCGGGCTTCCATCCCAGTCGGTCCAATGGGGCATCAGCATCCTTCCGCAATGTCCCATTCAGTGCAGCGTCGCTACCAGGACCCAATGGTGGCGCAGCAGCAGGCGCAGGCGCAGGCGCAGGTGGCAGCAGCGCAGGCGGCAGCGGCAGCGCAGCATCATCACTATCAGAGGGAATACATGCGGCAGCAGCAGCAGCAGCACAGTATGGTGGGTGTCGAGGATGATCAAAACTATTCAGTGGAACTGAACGTTTGCTTATGGTGATTTAACGCTTGGTGTGTTTGCAGCATCAATATGGAACTTACCATCCTGGCCAGGGGACAGCTGGCTCGGCAATGTGGCAAGCTCAAACGGCTCAGCGTGGGGGAGCAACCCAGCAGAGCGGGCAGGCTCAGCACCCCCAGGCCCAGGCGCAGGCCCAGGCGCAAGCTCAGGCCCAGGCACAGGCCCAGGCCCAGGCTCAAGCGCAGGCCCAGGCAGCATTGCATCAATGGCATATTCCTCAGCACGGAGTCAGTCAGCTCGGCAATCCTGGCCGCTCTGGGCAAGCCCAGAACCACCAGGACAACAACTCTTACAAAATTACCCTCAAGACACAGGTGAGAATGTCAGGATAGGAGCCTGATTGGCTCAAGTTTAAATATTTGTTGAATGTTTTTTTAATGGGTGTTTCTGTGTTGTTTGTAGGTGTCCCCACTGCAGCAGCAGCCGCAGGCATCTTCGCCAGGCGCACAAGGAGCCTCGATCAGCGTTGGCCCAGTGCCTGGGGCCATCCCCATTAATAAGCAGACTACTGCTGTAAGTTTAAAAGAGTGTCGGTGTTACAGGAAAAGTGGTCCTACAGCATACATTAAATTAATTTCTTTCCTGTGTGTTTTTAGAGCTTGAGTAGGGAGGATGCTCGTTCTGCTTCTCGAACAAACGATCGCAGCTCTAACTCAAGTGTGAGTTCTAATAACAGCAATGGAGAGCGCAGTATTAGTAGACAATCCTCAACTAGCTATATGGTGACTTCATCAGCACCTAAAACTCCCAGTCCCAGTTTGAACAAACCAGAAGATGCTGAACGAACCGAACAAAGTCTTGATAAGTTTTGTGAGGTAGGCATTCGATTAAATTGCTCTATTTAAGTCTTGACCAGGTCCTTTTTCAAAGGATTACCATCATTCTCAATGAGTGTTGTATTTCACATTTTAGGAATCTGTCAATGATCTCATGGCAACAATTGCCAAACTAGATAGTAATGGCATCATGGTTATCCCAGAACCCCAGCCGCCTCCTCAAACTCCATTGGCCCAAGCTGGAGACAGTCCTCAGGTCGACTCATCCACAGGTGATTCTAGGCAGCAAGGTATGACTGTCCACAGTGCTCTCACTGTGGTTCAGACTATACCTTTGACATTACGGTCATTATGTTATACTGATACGTTTCCTATGTTTCATATTCATTGGTGTAGTAGCGGAAAAACAAGATGAAGTTGAACCTCCTAAAGATGATCCTAATGAGGATTGGTGTGCAGTGTGTATGGATGGTGGGGAACTAGTGTGTTGTGATAAATGTCCTAAGGTTTTCCATATGCACTGCCATATACCAACACTAGAAGCTCTTCCTGAGTAAGCAAATTTCCTTGAATTTTGGTAAACAATTTTATTGAAATCGTGTCTTAACCCATCGACTGCATATTTATTTATTTATTCCAGAGATACATGGCAATGTCTTCTATGCACGGAAATTAATGAAGTAGTAAGTCACATTGTAGACGAAGACAAAACACAGTCAGCTTTAAGCCCTCATGAGTTGAAACTGGCTAGACGTCTTGTTCTTGAATTGTACTGCCAGTATGAACCAAGTTTACCATTCCGAGAAAATATTGGCTCAGAAGTAAGACCAAATTTGGTTGTTGTGCTAATGGGCCCTTAATAATTGCAGTGTAACTCCAAATTTTTGCTAACCTATGTTCCTATGTCTTTTAGGACACTGTGTCATTGGAAACAGTCAGAAAAAAGCTTTCACCAGACAATCCAGAACATTATTCTGCCTTATCAAAAGTTATTCAGGACATCAGACTGATATTTAAAAATGCCTATGCATACAACACAGTAAGCTTTTTTTAAGCAACTCAAATTAAATATTTTTAACTTTCTAATGACAGTACAGCTTGAACTAACCTTTCATTTTCTTTACAGAGTGACAGCCAAGTTTATGGTGATGCCAAAACATTAGAAGAGTTCTTTGAACATCTATTGCTAAAATGGTTACCTAATTTTAATTTTCCTAAGGCTAAATGTGAGTCTGATGATGATTCCATGGAAGGAGAACCAGGTACTGATAATGGAGACATTGCACCACCTGCAAAGCGTATCAAGAGGGGCATAGCAGAATGATGTCACGCTTCTGGGAATGTGTTGGCTGAGTCTGTCAACACATTTCCAGCTGGTGACAATTACTACATAAAAATTGCCACGGTTGTTACGTTTTTTCAAGAGGGAATCGAGAAAGAAATAATTTGAGCTGTGCAATGCCTGATGTATATAAGTGTGAGCTTAGTTTAGGTGTCTAGCCAGTTGAAAATATTAAATTGCAGCCACTAATCTAACAAATATGGGTATGAGATGACAATGAATCAAAGGAGTGTCTCATCCGTATTCTACACATGGCTATATGTTTTCTTTTAATCCAATTTATTTAGCCAGATAAATTGCACTTATCTCACATTATTTTGTTGAAATATTTAAGTTTGTTTTGGGTGTAAGCACCCTTTAAAATTGCGTGTTTGTACTACAGTTTTAATTACTGTATATTAGCATTTTCATTTAAACAGGAGAATGAAGTAAAATTTTTATGAATAATTTTTAACTTTGTCTTTTGTTTTATGAAAATGTCACATCCTCCTATTCAATTTTTATTGCTGACGAACTTGTGACCTGCTAGATTAGTTAATTTTTTGTTAGTACTCTGCCCTCCCTCAAACAGATAGCCCTTCCTATCTTTTGAAGTTTTGGTGTGGAGGGTGTTTGGACAAAGGATGTTTGGTCTCTTGCTTAAAGGGGTTTTGAGCTTGAGAAATGCTGTGATAATTCAGATTCATACCATAGATGTGCTCCACATGTTTGTGCAGATCTTACATCACCCTAAATCTATTAAAACTTCATAAACCTATTTTTGTTTCTTGTATCAATGTCTTTCCCCTGTGGGTGGGCAATTGTCACTGTGAACTATTTTCTTGACGGGTTCTATTTGACATGCATAGTCTGTAGTGGGAGTGGGGGCTGCCATCAATGAGTGCTTAAAGCTTACATAGTTGTACACTGTAGGAATTAAAATCAATTGTGAGTCTCATGGATATGTTACCATTTACTTGAACTAGTAATACGGACTGGAAGTCAAATGGTAATAACTTGAGAGTATTACTTTTGGTATTATTATTATTTCATTGATGTGGTAATGTGGGTTAATATTGATATGGAAATACTGCTGAGCTCACTTTCATTCTTTATTTCTCTGACCACATCTTCCATGTTGAAGTATTAATGTACCACTGTAACAAATATTCCTTGTCTTGTCTTATTCTCTATCCTTTGTCCCCTTGATGATGCATGCTGCATTGTCAGCAAATGAACTAGTGTTTTTGTATTATTTCTGTATGTAAATTATGTACATATGCTATAGTTGCTTTTATGTAATGTGACTGCTTTTGAAAAAAATTGTGCTATAGTTTGCTAGAATCTTCCCCCTTTTTTTCATCTTAAGTTTTTGCATTGGTACATTGTAAAGGAAAACAGTTGCAATGGTGCTAGAAATTCTTGTGAAGATTTTTGTTTGTTTTTTTCTTTACCAACAATGTGTATGATTTGTAAAATTGTATGTATAAAGCGCTCTTTAAGGTTGTGGTGAACAAAATGGAATCACAGTATTGTCATATCATAGTACTGCTAGGTAGGAATTGAAATTGACAAGTTTTGTTATTTATATTTTTTTTTTAATCCTCTAAACCTGTTGATTGGTTTAATTTTCTCAATGCTTTTACCCTGCCTGGTAAGAGTCTTCACTTTTTCTGTTGAATACTTTTAACTGTGGAGCCCATTTTGATTTTGTTATTTTGTTGATAGTGTGATGTACTGGTACTTAGCTTCATTAATGTACATAGTTTGGTTTTTAGAGCATTATTCCTAATGTCTTTACTTGTTATGTTAAGACTTCTTCTGTATTTTTCTCCTGATAAGAAGAAGTGTGTTATGTTATCATGTTTCAAGATGAATAATCATCAGGTATCATCATAGGTACTCAGTTCATACCTGCTAAAGAACTTCCAACAAATTGTTAACTCTCCAGTTTTCATCTTCTAAAGTAATTGAAAGATCTGTAAAATTTACGCAAGCTGGTTGAAGTGTAAGATCTTGTGCCAAACAAGTACCGCTCTAATTTTGAAGATATTTCAAAATACGCTTCTGATAATTTTAAATCTTTAAGACTGAAATATATATCTTAACCTCTCCTATGTTTCAGTCTTTTTTTTTACTGTTCAACATCCCTTTTTGTTCCTTCTCATCACAAGAAATGGGAATCTAAGGATACACAAGGGGGCAGACAGTGAAGATACGGCCTGACTTAAACTAAAACGGAGTATTGCAGTGAAATACTAATGGAGAATGGCCCGAGTTTCGAGGGATTTGGACCATTTTTTTGGGGGAAGCCCCTGACCAACACCAACAAGGGAAACTGTGGTGGAAAAAAATAGAGAAACTGGGGGGGGGGGAGGGGGGATGGGGGATCACCCTTTACCCCCGCCCCCATCGTCTGCACCCGGCGGAGAGTGAGTGTGTGTCAGTGCCAGAGTCTCTTATGTCCTTGCTACCGACTGCATCGCCTCACTATGCCAGAGAACCCGCAAGCCCCGGCAGTGAACGGTGACCGGCAAGCAGGCGAAGCAGCGGGAAGCGCCAGCGCCGTGAACGCGAACGGGAACGGGGAGATTCTCGACCAAGTCCGGAGGCAAGAGGACCTCACTTTGACAGATCACGTCAACAGGAGGTTATTGACGTCTTTCCTCAGTCGCATCAACAGCAGTGCGGTCGACGTGCAAGAGCCTTCCGCCAACGTCCCCAACGGGAACGACTCCGCGAACGACGACAGTGACGATTTTGCGGCCTAACGCTCATCTACTCGTCGGGGGAGGTGCTGAGACGCGACCCTAACCTCACAATCCGTGGCCCGACTGCAACATCATGACGACTATCTCCATTCGCATTCGACTTACGATTGCGGACAGTTTGATTGACTATTGCATTTTAAGGGTTTTGAGTTTTGTTGACCGTGTATTTCGCATTATGAGACTGACGATCGAACCGTCCTGGTCCTCCTTGTTGTTTTAGTTTTTTTTTCAGCGCTGTAATGTTGGGAGTCCTGATTGGATAACAACAGGTTTTTCCCGCCCACAGTATTAGTTTCGAAGTTTTCTCAAAGATTTGTGGCCCTGTTTTGTTCTGTTTGTGAAACCACTTGATTGTTTCTCATTGGAGGACTGTTCTTATCGTACTTTATATTGTACGTGTTAATTTCAAATTATATGTGAAGTATATGTAGGTTTAATAGTTAAAAGAATACGTTAAGTACTGTTGCGGCTCCTACCTAACCTTAAGCCTGTTACTCGAATGAAGTAATTCCATTCGCTGCGACAATGGCATACACTACAGATGATCTGTTTAGAGACAACCTTTTGGGTGACCCAAACGACTTAGACAATTTGGTAGAGTTCAGAGACGATGCCAATAACTCAGATGCAGAGGCAGGTGGCGATAATGAAAGAGGTAATTAATACTTTTAAGAATTTTTTCTATTAACTTAGTTCCTTAAATTTTGGTTATTTTATTCAATTTACCTGCCATCTCTCATTTTCCACTTACCTGCAGGTGGAGAGGGCGATGATAAAGATGATGAAGATCAGGAGGACAAAAAGGACGGTGATAAGAAGCCAGAACAGAAGATTGTCCGAATCAAACGTCCTCAACCAAAACTGGATGCAGAGAGGTAAATTATTAGTGGCTGAATTCTTTGAATATTTGCTCTAAGTGGAATTCATCTTGTTTGCATTTTAATTAAATGTCTATTCTCTCACTTAATTTTCAGGTTGAAGGGACCACGAGGTTTAAAAGAGTTGCGAAAGTGTATGTCAGATGTCAAGTTTCGCGGTAAAGGACATGAAGCTGAAGACCTACAGCGAATCATGGCACGCATGGAGCATTGGTCTCATCGTCTATTTCCCAAATTTCAGTTTGATGATTTTATTGAGAAAGTTGAAAAGCTGGGGACTAAAAAAGTGGTTCAGGTGAGGTGACAGTTAAATCTTTATTAGCCTATGTATCTTGATTTTATTTTACTCATCTGTTTTCCCCTTACATTTTAGAATTACGTCAAGAGAATGAGAATGGGAATACTGGATGATGATGATGATGAAAACCGTCCACCAAAGTCTGATGATGAGGAGGCTGTAGATAACCCTGATCCTGCTGCCAATGAAACTATGGGAGAGTTTGATCGCCTCTTAGCTGAGCAAGTGTCACTGCACCAGAACAATAGTCTAAACTCTACTCGCACACCTGGTGCTGCCACTCCAAGAACACCTACCTTTCCACGGCCTGGTCAGGGTGCATCCTCAACTCCTGAGCCTGTGAGTGTAAACTTCATCTGCTCTAAGGTGGAATCTCCGTGTGACTTGGAGCTCTATATCGCTGTGTATTTTCTTGACAGACCCTGACTCCAGAACAGCGCGCTAGGATGGAAGCAAATCGACTGGCTGCTTTAGAACGGAGGCGTGTTCGTATGGAGGCTGCAGCTGCAGCCGCTGCTGCTACAGCAGCTGAAGTAGCTGATGCAGCTGAAGCAGCTGACGCCGCCGCAGCAGCAGAGGCAGCGGAGCAACTGTCCTCCACAACCTCTACAACCAGCAATTCTATTCCAGTTCAAGAAGCAGGGAGTGAAGCTCCAAGAGAGGTTGCTGGCTCAACTGAAGATTTTAATGACAGCAGTGACTAGTCTCTAACAAGTACTCTTAATCACTTAAGCTTTCTATTACGATACCAACTTTTCCTACAAAGTCAACTTGATCTTCTGCTGTGATCTATGCCATCTGTGCTATTGTGAATTTGGGTTATTGCACCATATTCCTTTCATATTTTTTTATTTTTAATTCAGAAAAAAAAATTGGGTCTGTTTCAACATTTACTTAATTAAACTTTTAAATTTTGATTGTGTTAATAATTTACCATAGTTTTCCTTCCATTTTTTTTTTAAGAAGCAAACACTTTTAACGGCGAGTCCAAAGAAAGGCCAGGAACGCTACCCGTTATTGTAGAAACGCCGAAGTGATTGTGAGAGGAGTAGCCTGCCTTTCAGGCGGCTGGGTCTGCATTACACCTGGGCCAGACGGCTGCCCTCAGACACACCAGAGGCTACATACTCCGGGTGCTTCGGCCTGCTGGGGCCTACCGGAGCCAGGCACCAAATGAGATGCAAGCGGACGGCAGGGGCCACGGGGCGGGCCCGCTTCATAATTTATCAAATTAGTGTCGGAAACTTTTTTCTTTCCGGCGAGGCAGCGTGTAACTGGGTGGGATTATTTGCGCGACTTTACTCGTCGCTCTGTCGGAACGGCCGAGCCCGGAACGGAGCGGAGCGCGGCCACTTCTAGTGGCGTGGCGGGTGGCGAGCTCTGATGCACAGGACAGTGCTGTTGAGAAGCACTCACGCCCCGACAACGACCTGAAGCTTTTAGCAAAAATTATCATGCTGTGGCTGGCGTGCCCTGCCCGGCCCTGCCCGGCATGTGGGTGGTGGGGGGTGGCAGCCCTGGCCGAGCTGGCAGCCCCGACGTGGTGGAACGAGTGGGGCTCGGCTCGGCCCCCGGACCAAGGCCACCGAGGCCCCCTCGGAGAAGGGAGAGGACCCTGTTCCCGTTTGTCTACATTACTAATTTTGTCGACTCGCGAGCTGATCAACACGGCCCGTTTTCCCGTCCCGAGGAGCAGCGCGGATAATTGGCCGGAGAGGCGGAGCAGAGATGGTGGGAGAGAGAGGGAGGATGTTTCCGAATGCAGACCGCAGTGTTTTACGCCAATTAGGGTTGGCCAATCCAAGCATCAAGAAGTGTGCTCGGAATGGTCGGGGATGAGGGAGAGGGGGTGGGGGAATTTCCGAACCACCTTGGTTCAAACGCGCGCGCTTCGGCCGCGGCGCCGCGCGGTGCTGGCTGAGGCTGAGGGAGCCCCTGCGAGAGTTGGGGTAGGCAACCCGCCGACAGCCGCGCTCGACAGAACTGCCTACCGTCGCGTTGACAGGCGCGCAGGCGCTTTGGGGCTGGCTCCGCTGCACAGTGGACCGGAAGACCGGTGGAGGCGGCCATAATTCTGGACGCGTTTTGAGCTCCAGAGTCGCTAAATGGGACTCGAACCTAGCGAGTGACCCCACCAGAGGATTCCTCGTTCGGAGAGCAGTGCATTGGTGGGGGTCACACGTTCGGTTCGAGTGCCATTTAGCGACTCTAGAGCTCAAAACGCGTCTAGAGTTTTGGCCGCCTCCACCGGTCTTCTGGCCCACTGTGCGCTGGCTTTTGCTCGAAGATGCGATGCTAGAACTTGAAGCGGAAGTGTTTCCCGCCGCGCCTCACGGAAAAGAAAAGCCAACAAAAAACAGCCCCCCGCCTTCGACTCGGCCCCTTTGATTCTGCGTGAAAGTACACTTGAGCAAACTTTTTCCCTCCATCTTCCGCGGGGCTGTGCGGATACAACCGATTTACCGATAAATCCAACCCATTCTTTTTTCGTTTCCCCTCCTAGATTGTCTCCCAGGGGAGGGTGTTTCCCGGGCCGCGTCCTCGGGGAGGCCCGGGATCGTAGGCCGATGAGGCAAGGCTGGCAAGCCTGGCGAGGCGGGGCACAGTGGGCCAGAAGGCCGATGGAGGCGGCCAAAACTCCAGACGCGTTTTGAGCTCCAGAGTCGCTAAATGGGCCTCGAACCGAACGTGTGACCCCACCAATGGATTGCTCTCCGATCGAGGAATCCATTGGTGGGGTCACACGTTCGGTTCGAACCCTATTTAGCGACTCTGGAGCTCAAAACGCGTCTCGAGTTTTGGCCGCCTCCGCCGGTCTTCTGGCCCACTGTGCGGGGGACTGCCTCACTGCGCCGCGCCGCCGCGCCACGCTTTGCTCGTCCTAACGAACACGACTGCACGATTGACTAGGCCGGGCTGAGTCTGCAAAAAGGCACGGTGTGACAAGGGGGAAAATGGAGGGGGGGGAGGGGGTAAGCCCCTCACCTGCAAAGCCCTTTCTTTCCTCGACGCCGAGAGGACCAGGAGGACCAAGAGGGAGAGTCAACATGCCAACGAAGAGGTAAAGAAGGAAGCGGGGCGCAGGCCGGGCAGGCCGGCACTGCCGGCAGGACGAATCAGCCCCGTATCAACTGTTTGTCTCGACTAGGCCTCTGCTGCACGGCAAAAAAAGAGAAAAAAAACACAGCCTCGAACCAGAGGGGGTGCACACTAAATGTTTTTGTACAAATTTTGTACGAGACATCACAGTTTTTGGTGCACGCGAACTTTTCGTACAAATTTGTATGAAATTTTGCACATAAAGGGGAAATTTGTGCAGTTTTTCGTACAAAAATTGTACGAAAAGTTCGTGTGCACACAGGGTTGCCAGCGACTCACTATTGTCACTATTTTTCACTATTTCCAAAGTGCCTTCACTATTTCCACTATTCTGGAAATTTTGTCACTTTTGTCACTTTTTTGGAGCTCGCGGAGGGTATCATGTCCATTTTACTTCGTTATAAGCGTAAATTTGCCTTTGGTTCAAAACACTGTTCAAATCACCCGCCGCCGGTTTCGTGAAGTCTATCGAGGTATCGAACCGCGCGGCAGCGCTGTGTCGGAAGGCGGTGACTGTTGTCGAGGGGTCCTATGCAAATGATCTTATCTGGGCGTTCGCCCCAAGAGAATCTTATCCTTAAGGCAGGCGCATTTCACTCAGTTCGATCGTTCTGGACGGAAACGAGAGTAAGCGGAATACATTTCTACTTGCACTTTTAGTTGTTTAGATCTTTCATCTTAGGGTTTAAGTGAATTCTATCACAAATCATATTGATTTGCAGCCAAATCAAATGACAAATGAGTAAAATTTGTCTGCGTTTAAGATAATATTCTCTTGGGGGGAACGCCCAGATAAGATCTTTTGAATATGACCCCGCGTTGTGGTTGTGTCACGTCGCGCGGTCAGGCGAGTGAATTAGGAGGCGGCCGGCTTCTATTGCGGGCGAGATAGACCAGTCTATCTAATCAGATTTATTTGTATTTTTTAAGAATTTGGTTCAGTTTTATGTTTTAAGTAGAGATGTATCCTAACACCGTTTTGTTTTTAAAGCTTTTGCTTTCATGCTTCTCTTTTTGTTCTTTCGAGTTTAAAAGTTCCCGTTAACTTTACAGAACCATTCCATTGCCTCTGTTTCACGCGCCTTTTCCCGGTTTTATGGTCCTTACACCCACATACTATGTATTTGAGCTCCAATTAAGTGCCAAAAGCGATAATTTTCTACAGATCATAGCAAAATTTAGTCTAAAAAGGTCACTTTATTGTCACTATTTAGCAAAAAGACGTCACTTTTTTGTCACTATTTTCAAAGGTGCTAAGTCACTTTTCTACTATTTTCAACAGTCCTGGGCGCTGGCAACCCTGTGTGCACAAAAAACTGTGACGTCTCGTACAAAATTGTACATAACATTTAGTGTCCGCTTTTGCCGCGCGACCGAGGAGTGAATCACAAGTGTACTCATGTGTACAAATTTGCCCGTACTCAGTGAACTCACAAGTTTAAAGAGGGCGAAATTCACTAGTTTTTTTGACCGATTTGGTGTCGAGTGCCGTTTAAAACGCTAAATTAAGCCTTAAAATGTGTTCAAATGTGAAACTTATGAGAAAAGCAAGGTGTACTCACCCTTACTCATGTACTCATACACCAGAACGCAGAGTGATTCACCCCTCGCGCGCGACGCTGGAAAACTGAGGGACGATGGGGGTTTGCATGGAGTAGATGCAGAACCGGAAGTACCGGCCGGAAGTACTCCATCGCACTGGAAAGCCTTCCGCCCCTTCTTTATTTTCTGCTGAGGGGTCGCGAGGGCTTCCAGGTAGGGCTGATGGGCACGGCGCGGAAATTGGGCGCTTTATGGCCGGCCCGGGGAAGGAGAGGGGGGAGGGGAGAAGACGAGGAAGGAGGGCCAAGCGTTGCTGCCATTTCACGCACTTCTCCTCTCAATTAGTGGGAAATGGAGCCGGTGCATGAATTTTGCAGCGCTGACTCAGCCGGAAAAGGGGAAGGCGAAGGCAACGGCGAAGGCACGGCCAAGGAGCGCGGATTTCTTCGCCTCCTCCTTCGAGTCCCTCGCCGTGCCCTCGCGGCCCTGGCGGCATCTACCCCTTCTTCTTCTACTCGGAACACCCCGTCGAGGTGATGTATAGTGATACGATCTAACCTCCCCCCTCCCTCTCCCGCCTCCCCCCCCTCCCCTCCCGACCCGGGGGCAGGTAGGCACCGCCCCGCCACGCATGCAGAAAATGAATTAGTGCAGCCATCTAGCAGAAGCGCGACCCCCGCTGCGCCCGGCTGGCGGGGCTGGGGGTGGCTCGCGCCCCGCCTGGCTCACTGCAGTGGGAATTTCATTAAAAATAATGAAAGAAAGACGACGAAAAAAAAAGAGAGAGATGAGAAATCACGATTTTATCTAACGTTTGAGTATTTGGATAACAGGAGACGGCTGCTGGAAAGTTTCGTTGTTATTTTTCCCCCCTGCTGCATGATGTTCCGTTTTTTTGGGGGGCGTTTTTGCTGAATCCCGCTTCATGCCTGCAACGTGAACGAACGCAAGCTCGGCGCCACGGCTGCGGCTTCTTTCGCCGGCCGTTGTATTTTTGTTATTGTTGTTGTCGTCGTCGTGGTCGGGGCGCTGCTGGTTTTTGCGCCGCTTTCTTGAGACTTTTTGAGCTGCGTGCGAATGAGCGCAGGGAGGGGGTGCGGCGCCCTGCTGGCCCTGCTGGCTGGCCCTGCCGGCTGGCCCTGCCGGCCCGCGGCCTCGTGGCAGGCCGCAGCTAACCACTAACCAGTACTACAGCCGGAGGCTCTGCCGGCCGGCGGCGTGGCGTGGCGTGGCGCGGCGGGACACCCCCTGTTGTGCACGCACGGGGTCGCCAACCCCAAGTACAAGAGGGACTCCGGCACTCGTCACCAGACCTGGATGGCCGGGAGGGCTGCCCGGAGGGCGCGAAGGGCGCTCTCACCTGCCGAGGGGGCGTTGCAGGCCTGGCTGGCTGTCGGCTGCGCCGGCTGGGCTATTCTGCATGGAGATGGGCCGACCCTGTTTACAGGAGGTCGTACAGTCCCACATGCGCCTATGAACGGCCCTATTGCGGTCCGAGCGCAGTGTCGAAATTGGAGTGGGACTTTGAAACAGTGTTTGTGCAGGCGGAGAGAGCGCAGGGGTAGAGGGTGCCAGCGGGGTGGGCAGGCCAGGGCAGGCGGTGGGTGGCTGGGTCGTGCACTTGACACCAAGTGGTCGGTGGGACCACGGAGGGGCCTCGGTCGGGCCGGGCCCTGCGCCCTGCCTGCGCCCTGCGCCCACACCGTGGGGGCCAAGAGCAGCCAAGAGGTGACAGGAGAACACCACACGAGTTTCTTTTGCTTATGGAGTGCGTGGCGAGGCAGGGCGAGGCAGGGCGAGGCAGGGCGAGGCAGGGCGAGGCAGGGCGAGGCAGGCCCGGCCCGAGCCAAGAGGGATGTGCTGAAGCTGAAGGGATCAAAGGCAAGGAGAGCCCTGCTTTCACGTGCTTTTTCCACCCCTCCCCACTCCCCCTCCCCCTCCCCCTTCCCCTGTTCGGAACAGGCCTCCTACTTGCCAGTGTCCGCGTTTGCATTTCCAGACGATCATGTTTCGGGGCTGCGTTGCGTACATTTGCCTGATGTGTCAAACGCTTAGCTCAAGTCGGAAAAGGTTTTCTTAAAATACACTGCAAAGCCAACTGAATATGCTTCAGTTCACATTCGTGAGTGCCTGCTTGCAAGTTCCCCGGGACTCAAGCCGCAACCTTCCGGGTGTTGCACAGTGGGCCAGAAGACCGGCGCCGGCGGCCAAAACTCTAGACGCGTTTTGAGCTCCAGAGTCGCTAAATGAGACTCGAACCGAACGTGTGACCCCACCAATGGATTCCTCGTCCGGAGAGCAATCCATTGGTGGGGTCACACGTTCGGCTCGAATCCCATTTAGCGACTCTGGAGCTCAAAACGCATCTGGAATTTCGGCCGCCTCCACCGGCCCTCTGGCCCACTGTGCGTTGGCGTGGTGCTCGCGGCCGGCGCCCGGTTCGGTTGTTGTAGCGCCCTGCGTGTGACAACCCCTTTTTTCCGCCCCCCTCACGGCCCGGCAGTAAGTACACGGAGGGGGGGGGGGGATGCAGCCAGGCCGGCACTTAGGCCGTCCCGGCCAACAGCCCGGCGCTGCCGGCCCACAGTGCACCGTTCAATCAACAGGATCGCGTGGACCATAATCATGAGGCGCTACCCCCCGCCCTATCTTTGACGACAGTGTCCACCACTGTCACCGGCCCCCGCCCCGCCCGGCCCCGCCCCCTAACTGCACGCCGGCGGGCCGGGCGGGCCGGGCGGGCCCATACTTACGGCGTAACGGTTATGAAGCTAGCGATAAGGGCCAAGTGGGGTAGGGCCGAGGGCTGCCCTGTGTTCCCTTTCGTCGCGAAGGGAAAGGCAAGGGCTGGCCGCGCGGGCCGCACGTCTCCGGGGGACGAAAAAACACTTGTTTCCGCGTTCATTTGCAACACGGGGCTGCTAGTCTGCCACTGCGCGCCGCCAGTAGTGAAATAACTCGCCTCGGCCACGCCATGAAAAATTTCGAGAACGTCGGTGGGTGTCGCAGCTCGGGTTTTATTCTTCGACGTTTCAACGTTTCAATGCACAGGGTTTTTGGCGACGCCGCGTCTCTTTCTAAAAACATTGTGAAGATTTTTGTTTCGCTGGACAGTCGACACTTGTGAGCAGAGCAGCCTGCCTAAAATACGCCGCGCGGAGGTCTCTCTTTTTCCCAGTGTGGCTGGCCTAGGATGGGATACTGCGCTCAGCCCGGTGGGCCTGCCTGCCAGGCACTGCCCGGGCGTGGTAGGGCGTGGCGAGGCGGGGCGGGGCGGGGCGTGGCGGAATGGCTACTCAGTTACTTCCCCGTTGTTCCCGGGTTATTGTTGTTGTCTGGGGCGTCACCATTAGCAGTATGGCGTGGGCGTCTCCGAAGAGCCCTATGGCCCCGCCCCGCCCCGCCCCGCCCCGCCCCGCCCCGCCCCGATGACGCTGGCCCCGGCGACAGCACCGCGCACCTCGCAGCAGCCTCGCAGCTCCCCGCAGCAGCCTCGGCCCGGAATCAAAAAAGTTTGCCTTGTAATGGTGCGGATAATAGTGGCTGGTAATGACACTGTACAACGGGCGATGATTGTTGCCGTTTCTTGCCGCACTGTCTTGCTTATCTCGCACACACACTCGCACGCACACACGCACACAGCCGCGCGAGGCACGCACACGGACACGCCGACACACGCACACCGGCTCACTTCGGCACTGTCTTTTGATGCCCCTACAGTGGCTGCATCTGCATCATTTGCATCGGGTGCTGTTGTGGCTGCATCTGCATCTGCATGTGTGCCTGCCTCTCTTGCTGCTGCTGTTGTTGCTGCATCTGTTCTTGTTGTTGTTGCAGCAGCGCTGGGTCCTGCGCTAGCGGGTCGTCCGCCTCCCCTCTGTAACAACAACAACAACACCGGTCATGTCACTGCCAGAAAAAAGTGCGATAATCGTGTTATGGAAATACGGTAGTGGTCATTTTTTTTGGACGCTGCGAAAATGAAAGGAAAAAGAGAGAAAGAGCACCCTGAGCAAAAAATGTCCGTCACGTTTTGCGCGTGGGCCACCGTGTGGGCGTCAGGCGAATAGAGCCTCCAGCCGCTTGCAAGCGTGGACCAAAAACATGAACTCGGTCCGCACTTGGATTAGCAGTGTGCCACGCTTCGCTACGTGCGTATAAGGCTTCGGCGACGATGACGCGGTCAGGGTGGAAAAGGGGCGGGGAGGGGGACGGTGTTGCACAGTGTGCCAGAGGACCGCGAAGGCGGCCAAACTTCTCGATGCGTTTTGAGCTCCAGAGTCGCTAGATACACACTTAATTTCTTACGAAGAAAGGCTGTGCAGCCATATTATGGTGCGAAAATTGTTTGTAATACAGAGAAAATACGTCAATTTCTTCGTAACTTACAAAGAATTTGGCTTCGTAGGTTACGTAGCGAGCGCAGCAGCCATAATACGAAGGTTTTGCACCATAATACGAAGATTTGTCACCATAATACAAAGACTCGCCTTCGTAAGACATTAAGCGTGTAGGACTCAAACCATGCGTATGAGCCCACCAATGGATTCCTCGTTCGGAGAGCAATCCATTGGTGGGGTCACACGCTCGGTTCGAGTCCCATTTAGCGACTCTGGAGCTCGAAACGCGTCTGGAGTTCTGGCCCACTGTGTGTTGGTGGCTGCGCACTGTACGTAGTATACGTAGTGACGTGGCTGCATCCCAACTCCATCTCCAGCAGTGCATTCCAGTCCCTGCCAGTCCCTGCCAGTCCCTTCCGCCCCGCGCGCGGCACCCGCATTCTCATTCAAAACGTGTACCCAATCTGGGCGGAAGGAACAAGGCCTGCACGTGTGGTGCACGCGGAAAGGAGAGAGCGAGAGAGAAAAAGCACGAAAAACAATGCCTCGGGTTAAAACGAGGTCGCGCGCCATTTTGCGGCGCCCGCGTTGGCGGCGGAGGCCGGCGCCTGCAGGCTGGTTCCGGAAGTCGTTCACGTCGCTCTGTCTCTCTCGCACCAGCTCGGGACGCCTGATGGGTGCGAAAGAGACGGGGCGACGACTCTCGGAATGAGTCTGCTGGTTGCGTACTCACGAAGGACTGTACTCCTTCCAGCCGCCGGGCGGTGGCTTGGGCTTGGTGAAGCAGTGGCACGCGTAGCCGATGCACACCCCGGCGCAGCCGTACGCGCCGCAGTCCTTGACGCGCTTGCGGCAGTCCATCTCGCAGTTGATGGCGTCGCACACCACGATGGCCGAGTCCGAGGCTGCAACAACGCAGTGTCAGGACGAGGTGGCCGTCGACCGCCATGTGTTCACCGGGACGAGGTGGCCGTCGACCGCCAAGTGTTCAACGGGACGAGGTGGCCGTCGACCGCCAAGTATTCAACGGGACGAGGTGGCCGTCGACCGCCAAGTATTCACCGGGACGAGGTGGCCGTCGACCGCCATGGGTCCACCGGGACGAGGTGGCCGTCAAGGCAGAGTGAGTGCTCACCGGGCGGTGCGTCGCCGTCCTGCTGGCCGAGCACGTGGGACGGCCTGGCGGGGCTGGTGTGCGGCAGCGGGTCCAGCCCCAGCAGCAGCACGCACAACAACAAGGCCCTGCCCATGCTGGAGGCTGTGCCTGCGCCCTGGCCTGCGCCCTGGCCAGCCACGTCACCCGGCTCGCTGCGACGTGCACGTCGCGCCGAGGCGCACCGCGGGCAGTGGCGAGGGCCCCGGCCTATCGCACAATGGCCACGGCATGCTTCACCGCCGCGCGGCCAGGGCGGCTGCGACCGCCAGGACCGCCAGGACGCCGACGTCACTTGCCCGTAGTCGAACCCGCGTCCGTCGCGCGACCGGCCGCAGCCAGCCTGGGACAGCGCCGCCGCGCTCCGTGCAGCCGACGAAACCCTGACGGCGTCCCACAAACGAAGCCGCGGAGCCGAGAATGAGGAAGGCCAGGAATCGAGTCTCCAAGTTAAGCTACTTTGCATGTCATTTACGGAATGTGGCTCCACCCGCCGGGCTCCACAAAATGAGGTTTGGTTGTAAGCCGGCGGCAGGTGACTCCAACTCGATTCAAGTTCGTTTTGAAAATACAAGCCGGCTGGCCGGCCTCTCAACTAGATCCCAATTTGTTTCGAAAATACGGGCTGGATCCCCGTTCTCTGTCCACCGCCGGTGTAGCGTTACATCTTAACGCCGTTTCGTCGCGCGCTACTCGGTGTACTCGGCTTTCCCAGGTTCTCCGGGCGGCTCGTGTATTATTCACCGGGGCACGCCCCCGACCTGTCTGTCTGTCTGTCTGTCTGTCTGTCTGTCTGTCCGCGCTCTACTTTTCCCGCCCTGTCCGTCCGCCCGGCGCTCGCTCCGCCCACCGCACACGCCTGTCGGATGGGCTGCCGATGTGTCCGGCGCGCCTCGCCTCGACCCGCATTCGCCCGGGCAAGGCACGGTGCATGCATGCAGATGCAGTGCTGGAGGGGCTCCAGGGTTCCAGGGCTCCAGAACTTCAGTGCTCCAGAACTTCAGGGCTCCAGAACTTCAGTGCTCCAGAACTTCAGTGCTCCAGAACTTCAGTGCTCCAGAACTTCAGGGCTCCAGAACTTCAGTGCTCCAGAACTTCAGTGCTCCAGAACTTCAGTGCTCCAGAACTTCAGGGCTCCAGAACTTCAGTGCTCCAGAACTTCAGTGCTCCAGAACTTCAGTGATCCAGAACTTCAGTGCTCCAGAACTTCAGTGCTCCAGAACTTCAATGCTTCAGAACTTCAGTGCTTTAGAACTTTAGTGCTCCAGAACTTCAGTGCTTCAGAACTTCAGTGCTCCAGAACTTCAGTGCTCTAGAGCTTCAGTGCTCCAGAACTTCAGTGCATCAGAACTTCAGTGCTCCAGAACTACAGGGCTCCTGAACTTCAGGGTCCCTGGGCTCCAGGACTCCAGGGCTGCACCGCGCGGGCGGCCATCTTGGCGGCGCGGACCATCACGACCATCACCAACCTGGCCAATCTGTTTGGAGCGGCCCGGGCCATCTCCACAGCAAAAACACTGATGAGTCGCCTCGGCGCCTCTCTCCCTCGTCAGAGGGAGGGGAGGGGAGGGAGGGGTAGCTTCCCTCCTAAAAGCCCCCGGCCCGCACACTCAGGGCACGACGGCCACGGCGGACGGGGCCGACTGGGGCTCACGGGGTAAAGAGAGCAAAATTACGAAGCGAGATAAAATCTCACACGAAAACTTAGTGACGGCGTTGTCCGGGGGCATGAAGGTCGTACCGGGCCGCGGAGGCCAAAAAAAGGCCAAAAAGCTTTTAAAAGCAAGACATTTGCCTCGAAAATACGCTGGGAGAGCAGGTAAACAGGGTCCCGGGTAACGCGGTACACACTCCACCCCGCGGCGGGGGAGGCGGCCGCGCGGCGACCAAGTGCATCATCCTGGACGCCCAATACGTGTGGCGCGCAATGTGCACATTTTTCTATTTTTTTTTTCTGGCCGGGCGAGCGGCACAATTAGACGGGGCTGCACTGCGGCGGAGCCAGGCGGAGCGAGGGGCCTTCTTCTTCATCGTCCTCTTCATCATCATCGTCGTCGTCTGCCCAGGCCGCAACGCGTTCGGGCTGCTCGAATTATTGTTTTGAGTGTTTATGCGAGGTGTCCGAGTGGCAGTCGAACACGCCCCTTTGCCGCGCCAGCGCGCCAGCCTTCCACCGCCGTTGTGTGAGTGTGTGTGTGTGTGTGTGTGTGTGTGTTTGTGGTCGAAGGGGGTTCGCAGCAGTGGGGGGTAGTCACCACCAGAACGCGGCCCAACTGCTCAAAATGTTCTTGATGGAGTAGGTGGAAGAGGGATGGACAGAGTGTGCGTGTGTGTGTGTGAGAGTGAGGGGGAGTGTGTGTGTGTTAGTGTGTGTGTGTGTAGGTGTTAGTGTTCCACGGGGCTTGAAGGAGCGATTCGAAGAGTGCGGGAAACGAAGCGGAGGCAGGGAATTTTCGGGGGTAGGGGGAGGGGGGCGTGCAGAGGGTGGAAAATATCTCCCAGGACAAGTTTCAGGACTTATTGCGAACATAATTTCCCGTGACAATGGCTGCCTGCTTGGGCTGGATGGGGCTGCGGGGGCCCCGCTTCCCCGCCCCTCGCAACTCTCGCCACTACTTGCGCCCCGTCGGGGGCCCCGTCGGCCCCGTCCGGGCCACGGTGCCCCACGGTGCCACGCTCTGCCCGCACGGTTCACGGTTCGGCCTTCGGTGCCTTCGGGCCGTGAGCAATTGGCCCAGACGGAAGGGAAAATTCCAGGTTAGCTGGCGTCTAGCGTCGGCTGGCGCTGGTTTGGGGTCGAACGCGTTTAGTTAGTGAACCTCGTGACAGCAGGGGGGATTGCGAACGGGGGAGGGGGGGAGGGGAAGGGGAAGTCCCAGATCACGCCCACACTGCAGGCAGACCCTGCGGGATCGGGGCGGCGAATCAGCGCCGGTTTGGCCGGACGGCCCCTAGGACGGCCCGACGCAAGGAAACGCCGTGAACTCGGAAAGCAGCGACGATTGGTACCCTTACCCCACAAAGGAGGCAACAAAAAAGCACGTCAAAACAACAAGATTTATTCGTAAAATGGAATTCTTGCGCGCTGCGCCGCCGGTGCCGCGCTGGCCGGCCTGCAGACTGATTCCGAGAGCCGTTTTCGTCGCTCTGTCTCTCTCGCACTCACGGGGCGTCCCGTATAGGTGCGAGAGAGACAGAGCGACGAAAGCGACTCTCGGAATCGGTCTGCAGTGCCAGCCCCGCCCGCTCATTTGCATTCACCGTATTGAATCGTTTCACACTTTTATCTGGAATCTGGGCGGAGGAGAACCGCGGACGGTCGGGCCACGCAGCCACGCGCGCGTCCGAGCCGAGCCGAGCCGAGCCGAGCCGAGCCGGGGGCCAAAACCTCGCCGAAAGCGGGAAGGCAGGGAAGGCCTTGGCAGATAATAAGACGACGATAACCCCGGCAGCGATGATTGTTTAGCTCCCTATATCATTTTCACCGGTAATTCCGATAGTTTACGACTGCCAACGGCTCCCAGATCCCAGCCATGCTGAATGGAGGCCACGATCGAAGCTCCAAGCTCGGAGCGAGAGGGAACTAAAGAGGGCGGCGAAGGGAATAGATTGACCATCGGTGGCGGGGCGGGGCGGGGCGGGGCGGGCTGCCACTGATAGCGGAATGGAAGAAAAGCACCTTCGACTTATTGAAAGTTTATCTCTTGGCGCGCCGCTAGCAGCCGCCCAGCTCCAGCGTCCAGCTAACCCACACTCGCGCACGCACACACACACACACACACGCCACATGCTCACACACAAACACGCGCGCATTGCACGGCGTTTCAAGTGACAGTTGTTCCAGCGAGGCGCGCGTGTACTTCGCCGTGTTTCTCTCCGTTTTCTCTCTCTCTCTCGCTCACTCCTTCTGTTCCCCGGCGGGCTTTGCCGTCATTGACAAAGCCCAAGGTCGGTCGTCCGGGTCGTCCCCTTGCCCTGCATGATGTTATCTTCCCTGGACCTCATCCCTTGGAAGGAATCCCTCTCTCTCTTTTGTCTCTCTTTTGTTCCAACCGACACTCCGGCCTCTCGAACGGCTGAGCCGAACGACATTCGCCCTGGGTGTTGCCGCGCACAGTGGGCCAGAAGACCGGTGGAGGCGGCCGAAACTCTAGACGTGTTTTTGAGCTCCAGAGTAGCTAAGCAGGACTCGAACCGAACGTGTGACCCCACCAATGGATTCCTCGTTCGAAGAGCAATCCATTGGTGGGGTCACACGTTCGGTTCGAGTCCCGTTTAGTGACTCTGGAGCTCAAAACGCGTCTGGAGTTTTGGCCGCCTCCACCGGTCTTCTGGCCCACTGTGCCGCGGTGGGTCTCGCCTCTCTTTTTATTCAATACCCTCTCCCTCCCCCTCCCCCTGCCTCACACACGCGGCGCGGCGCCCTCCATCCCTTGTTCGGGCGCCTATTGACAAATGGCAGCCCTCCCCCACCCCCTCCCCCTTCGCTTAGCCACCAACGCTCAGAGTCGTTGATGCGGAAACGAAGGTCTTGAGAAATGGCTTACACCTGGTTGATAGGCCACCCGTCAGCCGCGCCGCCGCGCCTCCCCGGCAGGCCGCCTCCGAGCAGCGCAGGCCTCGCCGTCTCTCTCGCACTCGAGGGGCTGCCCGCTGGGGTGCGAGAGAGACAGCCTGCCGTTCGGAACGAGCGCGCCGCACAGCGCGAGGCGCGAAGCAGAGCAAGCAGAGTGTAAGGGAACACGAGGCAAACCCATTCACTCCATCACCTGTGGTGTGGAGGGCTGGCGCTGTGCCGCCGCCCGGGCCGCCCGGGCCGCACAGTGGGCCAGAAGACCGGTGGAGGCGGCCGAAACTCTGGACGCGTTTTGAGCTCCAGAGTCGCTAAATGGGACTCGAACCGAACGTGTGACCCCACTAATGGATTGCTCTCCGGACGAGGAATCCATTGGTGGGGTCACACGTTCAGTTCGAGTCCTGTTTAGCGACTCTGGAGCTCAAAACGCGTCTGGAGTTTTGGCCGCCTCCCCCGGTCTTCTGGCCCACTGTGGGCCGCGCGCCCTCAAGGTGATGTCGAGGACAAGGTGGAGGCCGAGCTGGAGCCGGGGGACGCGGTGACATCAACACCTCCCCGATAACGCAGTGGCCAGCGCGCGGGCCCGGGTTCGA